GTGTAACTGTAAACTATGTCCGTTGTGCAAATATTAAAAAATAGAAAAAAGCATAAAAAAGAAAACATTTACCTTCAGCTGTACCATCCAGAGATAACCATTGTTTATTAATTTTTCTTGTTTACTTCTAATCTTTTTTTTCTGCATACTTTTAGGTAATTGAGAAATACTTAAAGTAAGTTACTATGTAAATATGCTTTTAGTACTCTTGTCTTTATCAAGACAGAATCCAGATGAACAGTTAAAACTAATTTGTCAAAATATAGCAAAAGCAAGATTATTGAAATTAAAAGACGGAGTTGCTTTTCATAAATTAATAGGTAAAAGAAAAAATTAATTTTATTTTTGGAGATAGGAGGTTAATTCTAATCATAAATTACATTAATGGTTAAAAGTGAGATAGGGAATCATAGAAACTTTTGTTGGGAGGGCCTTAGAAATGTCTAATGTATTGCTTTTCTAGTGCAGGAATTGATTTTAAAACATTCCTGACAGTTGGTAAACCTTTTCATAAACACTTCCAATGATAGGGAGTTTACCTAGTTTCTGAGGCAACTTGTTCTTTTGTTTGATAGCTCTAATTGTTAGAATGTTCTTCTCAATACTGTGTTAAATACTGTAATTTTCACACGTTTCTTATTTTTTCCTTTAGAAAGATTTATATTTTTTTAAAGATTTATTTATTTGAGAGCTAGCGAGCATGCAACGATGGGGAGGGGCAGAGGAGAGGGAGAAGCAGACTCCCCACTGAGCAGGGAGCCCTATGCGGGGCTGATCCCAGGACCCTGAGATCATGACCTGAGCTGAAGGCAGAAGCTTATCTGCCACCCGGGTGTTCTTGAAATATTTTTATTTTTACTTCATAAGACACCTCCTTAAATATTTAGCTTTAATTATTTAATATTCTGTGCTGTACATGCCTTTTTCATCTACTCACTCCCTTTTAAGTGTGTGATTTGATTCAGTACACAGGCATGGGCTATCTTTTGATAAGCATACTGTTTGTTAAGGTCCAATTTTTTTTTTAGCCTTTTAGCATCTATGCTAGACCGTTGGCCGGAACCCAGTGGTCAAAAATGAAATGTCTAGGTTTTAACCCTCCCACCCCCCCAACACTGAACAGTTGACAAGCTAGAGGTCCTTCTCTGCTTTGTACTTGTAGAGTTGATTTAAAGTAAACTATCTCTGGGCACGTGGGTGGCTCAGTCAGTTAAGTGGCTGCCTTCGGCTCAGGTCATGATCCCAGGGTCCGGGGATCGAGTCCCGCATTGGGCTCCCTGCTCGGCGGGGAGCCTGCTTCTCCCTCTCCCTCTGCCTGCCTCTCTACCTACTTGTGCTCTCTCTCTCTCTCTGTCAAATAAATAAATAAATAATCTTAAAAAAAAAAAAAAACTATCTCAGATTCTAGTGACTTACTTAAATCTTTGTTTCATTTTATTGTTCTGGTCTTCAAGATCTTCTTTGGATTTTATTTTTATACCCTGATAAGTTAAATATTACTTTTAGCCTTGTATATTCTGTATTAACAGCCTTTGAGTATTATTTTAACCTTCTGTGAATTTACCTGACTTCTTTTTATGGAGCTCACATTTTTTTCATCTGTCTAGTAAATTCATCAAAGAAAATAAGAAAGGTTAATTTGGTTGAGAAACCATCTGTAAATTTTGCAGGCTAGGAGTTTGAATCTATCTCATTTTAGGCATTATACATATTTTGTGCCTGAAACACATATGGCAATGTGTCACTTCCCTGCCCAGGGATTAGTTAAGATTTCGAAAGTGTTACTCCGGGCTGCACAAATGCTGTCTGGATTGAGGTTGTACTTGATTTATTTCCTTCCTTGTCCATTGGACCATGATTTTCTCCCAGCTTTCTATACTGCTTCTTCATGGATAAATAGGGAAGAACTAAAACTTAACATCACGGATTTGGGGTTGGGTGTGGTATTGTGGTCGTAACTATATTTTCATCTTCCTTAATCCTGAAATTCCCACCAGTGGGGGTTCTTCCATTGTTAAAAGTATTGTTTTTTTCTCAAGATAAAAATATGGGACTTGTAATAGATAATATAGTATCTTGAGCAGATCGTCACAGTTAGGATTGGAAATCAGAATCATATTTAAAATTTATTTATTGGGCACCTGGGTGGCTCAGTTGGTTGGGCATCTTCCTTCAGCTCGGGTCATGATCCCAGGATCCTGGGATCGAGTCCCACATCAGGCACCCTGCTTGGCAGGGTGTCTGCTTCTCTCTCTGCACGTGCCCCCCCCACCGCTTATTCTCTCTCTCTCTCATATAAATAAATATTTTTAAAAATTTATTTATTAACTTAAAACTATAATCCATATTCATTGTTGAATAAATAGAAAATAAATGTTAATAAAAATGTAAAATTATATATTACTCTATCATTTAGAGGTGGCTTATTGTAAACATCTCTATTTTAACAGATTGATATGTAGTATATTTTAATGGTTTAATGGTTTCATGCTATACATGCTATTCTGTAACCTGTTTTTCTCACTAATGACCGTTTTGAACATTATAAGGAATATATTTTAACAGCTTTTATATGTATATGTTATCAGTACTTGAATGGTTTCATACTCTATATGCTATTCTATACAGCATGCTTTTTTCATTTTTAATAATGGTTTTTGAAGAAATATCTGGTCACAATGAAAATAGAGCCTCTGGCATTGTTTTCCTTTGAGTACAGGTATGCTATAATTTATTTACCTAATCTCCTGCTGTTGGAAGCCAAAGATTCTTTTATTTTGCTATTATAAATAACATTGTGATGAATAGTTATGCATATAGTCCTTATTCACTTGTCTGTTTATTTAGAATAAATTCCTATAACTGAAACTTCTGTTACAATGATAAATATACCTAAAGGCTTTTGACATGTGTATTGACAAATTGCCATTCAGAAAAATTACAAGACTGTGTATTTTCCCATCATTCCTTTAATCTCCCGTCCTAGCTGTATTTGATAATCTACCATGATGTGAAACCCAACTCACTGGTCTGTTTCCAGACTTTTGTCGTTGTGCTTTTGTTCATGCTGTCTTTTCTTGGAATGGCTTTCCTCTCCTTTGCTTGGTTACTTTTACTTGTTTTTTAGACTGTAAGGTTGGGAAATTTATAGAACTTTGTTATGCCATGACCATTGCTTGATCAAGGATACTCTTTTTATAGAAAGTTTATATATGAAATTATGAAGTAATCCTAGCCTGGGTTATAAAATGGTTTTTTTCCAGATTGGGAGAACAGTTTCACAAATGGCTGATAGCTGGACCTCACACTTTAGAACTCCCTGGGCCCTGTGTCATGATTTTATATTTTTGTGTCTGTTTTTTGTCTTTTAAGGCTCCAAATTTCATTTTGGCAAGTTACTCCAAGAGAAAGTGAGGGTGGTGGAAGAGGAGGAGGGGAGTGTAGTTTGGCCGTCAGTACTGCTGCCAGGTGGTAGATGGTCAGAGAGGACTGGCAAAGGGGGGATTTCACAGGGAGGGCATATGGAAGTGCTGAGTAAATGCCCATTGACTGAGCCAAATGTTATCTTTGGAAACCCCCAGCCCTGAGGATGGATGCTAGGTTTGCCAGAAATCTGAAGTTAAGGCTCTGGTGTGTAGGCCAAGGAAGCCATACCAGCAGATAAAACAGCAGCATGAAGCCAAGGCTACTTTTCTGCTTTGGAGATTTGATGGGCTGTAATTGAGAAAGTATCTGGGAATATGTACTATAGTTCTAACTGCCACCACCAGCATAACACCTTTGTTAGTACAACAGATTGTATACAAAATACTACTACACATGTCTTTATAAGATCATTGGCTCATATGTGTTTGGAAAATAGGAAAAAGATGTCAGTTTAACATGGAGGTTTGGGATTCCTATGTAGTCTTTCCTAGTTCAGGAGAGCTAGGATAATAGGGGTAGAATCCTATCCTTTAGCTGGAGGGGAAAAAAACCTGAATTCTGCTGTGAAGGCAGAGGAACCTTTTCAGCAACATTTAAAGAAAATGAGAAATTAGCCCTGGATGCAAAGGAGCACTTGCATCCAGGGCTGCCTCCCCAAGAGGCACACCTCTAGCTTCCCATTAGTTGCAAGAGGGGCAGACTGCTGCTTCCTCTGCTCTTTTCCCCTCTGTGCTCTCGTAGCTGGCTAGGTTCCCATTCTGTTGTGATGCTGTGTTAACATCCCCTGAGACAGCCTCAAACCACTCCAGATGTTTGTCTGGGCATCCAAATGATATCCCCAGGTATCGATTATTGCTTTTGTTACCTCTGGTTACAAACTTGAATAGGTTGTGAGTGGTCTGCCCCTCATTCCTTTTTTCCCCATAAGCTTTGTTATTTTTAATGTGTTTTTTTTTTTCAGGAATGAATATATCACATATAAGCAGAAATGCCTGTATTTTCTTCTTGGATTTTTTCCCTAAGTATCTTAAAATTTGTTACTACTTTTTTAACTGTCAACTCCAGGTTTTAATGTGCTATGCTTATTTTTCAGAATTTGATTTCTTGAACTGATTTTTTCTCTTAGATCCTTCAAAGCCTTTTCTCTTCATTGTTTTAGCCCTCTTCCCTTGCTCTCTTTTCTTCCTGTGCTAATCTGCTTCCCTCCTTCCCTTTATGTTCTTTGTGCATTTGATGTTATATTTATAAGGTTAGGAAATTTTTCTTAATAGGAAATTTTTTATTTTGGCATTTCTGGGTTTTTCAAGTCTTCCATTAAAAGCACAGATTAAATTTAAGAGTTCTTATATTTTAATACTAAGGATTTTCATTATATATTTTAATCACAATGCTAATTTTAAAATTAAAAATACATTTTATTACAGTATATACATAAAAGTGAAATGTGTTGATTAATACTATGTAAGCATGCCTATGTTACATATTTGACATAATTTATAAGCATACTTATATTTATGTAAAAAAAAAAATCCATGAATAGGACTGTATGTGATGCTAATTTTGTTTTCCTCCAGGAGGATCAGGATGGGAGTCAAGGACTGGGCAAGAGAAAGAGGGTCAAACTAAGCAGTAGCACCAAAGGTATTTATATTTAATTTTTTTCCTTGTATAAAAAGATAAAAATGAAAACCAAGAAACAGATTCTAACTATAGACACAGACTGATAGTTACCAGAGGGGAGGTGGGTGGAGGGGGATCAGTTAAGCAGGTGATGGGGGATTAAGGAGTGCACTTGTGATGAGCACCAGGTGGTGTATGGAAGTGTTGAATCACTCTATTGTACACCTGAAACTAATGTGACACTGTATGTTAATTAACTGGAATTTAAATAAAAACTTTAAAAAAAGCTAAAAATGTTTAATCATTAAGAATACTTGATGGGCTAGCCATTTTGAAGGGAGAATTATGTTCTTAGATTTGTCTAGTGATGGAGAAAGTATTGTTAGGGAGTGATTGTGGGGGACCTCAAAAGCAAATGAAACCCTTACTATTGGAATTTTGTTTCTTTTTTCATAAGATATGCATTATTATATTTGAGCCATAAAAAAGTAAATCTTTTCATTGATTCTTTGATTTGGATCCAGTGTTTTTGATGTCAAGTTTTAGTTCGATTTACATCTTTTTATAATCTGGGGTATGCAATATCTAGAGTGAAAAAGCGTAAGTATGGGAGAGATGGTGAGAAAGAGAGGTGGGAGGAGGGAGAGAATAAAAATGAATGGCAATTAAGGGTTCAGTAAGGGCTCAGTACATGTTTGCTCAAAGGAAGAAGTAGGTATTTGTGTAGTGAGGGAATAGATTAGTGATAATAATGAGTAATATTTATTGATCTTTTTGTATATGATAGACATAGTGCCAGGCACTTCACATATGTTGTTTTATTTAATTCTTAAAGTCACTATACAAAACAGTAATTATTATTATTATTAATTATTATTACTATTTTATGAATGAAGAAATGGAGGCATGTTAGAGATCACAGCTAATGAGAAGTAGATCCTTAATTCAAACCCCAGAGCCTAAACTGTTAATTACTGTTTTCTTGACCCTTACTAAAAGCTTTTCTGGAGTACTTGTTATTAGTTGACAGCCTGCGCTCTGGATTTTTGCCGTGGATTTCCGCCGTGGATTTCCAAATCTTAACATGGTCTATATTCTGGGTTAGTATGGTCTGTTAGAGAGTCTCCAGAGGTTAAATTATTATTTTGATGAAAAAAAGATTATTATTTCTGTGCTTAGTATATCTTGTGGTATATTTGCAACTGCTTGGAAAGGTGGAGCAAACAGGTAGTTTCAGTTGAGGCTCATTTTGTAAGTCTGTTCTGAGTTACTTATGTTACTGCATTTAACTTGGGGCTCCTAGTGTTGGGGACCCCTCAAGATCTTCTAGCCAGACTAAGATGACATTAGCCAGATTAACAGGAGAAAATAAAATTTAATATTGTACATATGGGAAATCATACAGACATGGAAATTCCAAAAACAGGCAAAATAAAGTATATAGGTAATTCTGAACTAGGGAGAAATGGGTAAGGGTCTGGGACTTCAAAGGGAAGACATGCAATTCATAGGAAGATGAAGAAGAGTAATATTTGATAAATACATGTTTGCTGGGCCCCTAGAAACAATAGGACACAGGTCTTGCTAGGTTCCGCCCTGTCTACCATACTTAGTTTATCGTAAAGTAGTTATCTATGGTGATAGCTCTCTTCCTGAAGCAGGTCCTCTATCTAAATTCTTTTTAGGTTTTTGAGGGGGAAGGTAAAGAGCTTTTCCTAAATCTGATGGATTTTGATTGCTTTTGTTTAAGTATAGTTGACACACAGTGTTACATTAGTTTCAAGTACACAACTTAGTGATTTGACAAGTTTGTACATTATGCTATGTTCACCACAAATGTGGCTACCATCTGTCCTGTTACATCACTATTACAGTATCATTGACTGTATTCCTTATGGTCTGCTTTTTATTCCTGCGACTAACTCATTCCATAACCGGAGGCCGGTATCTCCCTCTCTCCTTCACCCATTTTGCTCATCTGCCCACCTGTTCTGTTCTGGCAACCATCAGTTCTGTGTATTGATAGGTCTGATTCTGCTTTTTGTTTGTGTATGTATATGTGTATGTGTGTGTTTGTATATATATGTATATTATATATATATGTAACATTTCACTTATGAGTGGAATCATAGTATTTGTCTTTCTCAGTCTGACTTATTTCACTTAGCATAATATCCTCTAGGTCCATCATGTTGTCTCATGATAACTTCATCCTTTTTTATGGCTGCCTCATGTTCCATTCTGTACATATACCACATTTTCCTTATCCATTTGTCTATTGATGGACACTTCCATATCTTGGCCTAAATAATGCTGCAGTAGGGGTGCATATATCTTTTTGAATTAGTGTTTTGGTTTTCTTTGGGTAAATACCCAGTAGTGGAATTATTGGATCACATGGTATTTCTGTGTTTAATTTTTTGAGGAACCTCCTAATCTTCATGCCAAAGGAGCCCATCTTGGGGTGGTCTGCCCTTGGCCCTACACTAGCAAAGGGCATGAAATTTGCTCTGTGGTCCAGGATGCACACGTGCACACATGTTCCCCTTCTTCCTTGCCTAGCAGAGAACCTGTGGTGCCTGAAGGAAATTAGAAACCCATATGGTTATCAGAGTTGTCTTTGTATTTACCTGAGTCCTTGACACGCATCTGAGTTGAAGTGGACTCTTAGGTACATACTTGAGTTTCAGCTTTAGGGATGCCTCGAAAAAAAAATACCTGTTATGGTGTAAGAGGTCATTGTTTTCCTTCAGTCTGGTCAAACTTTGGTTGAAGATACTTTTTATGGAGACTTAAAGTTGAAGCTTATTTTATACCTGATTTTTTTCATATTTGAGATTGGATTGATTCTCTTCTCTTCCTTCCTCCGCTGGTGAGAAATGGTACAGAGATTTAAGACTTGATCGGTTATCATTTTTGCTTTAAGTATGTGCATGGAAGAAGAGGCTTTTTGAATTAGTAGAACCGCTGCTTTCACAAAGTGATAGTTGCTTTTGAGATATTGAAAGTCCAGGGATTGGTTTAGTTTTTGTAAGAATTTGGTTCAATGGTTTGAAAGTGAGCTGAAAATAAAATAGATAATGACAGGCAAGAGGTTGAGGCACTGTGCTACATTCACTGTCTATTCTCAAAATTAAATTAAAAATTAAAATTAAATTTTAAGGATGAAGAAAGTGAGGCCTAGAGGGCTTCAGCTAACATGATTATTGAGCTCCTGAGTTATGGAGCCTGGACTCTGCTGTCTAATGAAAATCTTTACGTTACTCATGTATTTGTACCACATACTGATTGCTCAGAAATCTCTTTTTACAGTTTGGCTTAAGGTAGTTTAGGTATTGTAAAAATCATGACAATTTAATCCAGATTTTAAAGGTAAATATGTAGTTATACATAACTAATGGAAGCATTTCTAACCACATTTCCATAACATAACACAACACACAAAGCACATCACACATGTTTTAAATATCTTGGGGAAACTGACATCACCTATTTTAAGAACGATAACAGTGAAGATATTGTGGGTTTTTTTCTTTGCTTTTTTGTCTGAAGATGAAAAAATGGAATCGTATATAATTGCAGTTATTTTCATTTTAGTAGAAGCCATAGCTTTTCTGGTTCATTTGGATTGTTTTATTTATTTAAAAAAAAGTGAATGTATCTTTTTCAATATATGACATAATAATTATGGTAGCTTCAGGCTTTCATTTGGCAAATGCAGACTTGCAGAGTCATAACTGAATTCTAAGATTAATACTACAAGTTTTTTTAGCTTTGTAAATATTTTTAGAAACCCTTTTCTGTAAGAATTTTATTTTTTTTTTTGGTAGTCTAAAATTTTCAATCATATTAGTGCTAAATAAATTGCAAGAATTAAATTGACATCAGCAGTATGCTCTGGGTTATATGCAAAATTAGAATATAATTTTGTCACCTGATTCAGTTGGGCCCTAATTTTATTACTTTTTGGCTTTGAATCTGTCAGTGTGTGCCTTTGAATATATTTTACTTAATTTTTTGCAAGACCAATTTATTTCTGTTTTTAAAATCATTGTCATATCATGGGAATGATCTAGTTCAGGAGGAAGAGATTTCTGTTTTGCAAGTAGAAAATTCTGAGATTTATTTATTTTTAAAGGTTTTATTTATTTGACAGAGAGAGAGAGACAGTGAGAGAGGGAACACAAGCAGGGGGAGTGGGAGAGGGAGAAGCAGGCTTCCCGCTGAGCATGGTGCCCAATGTGGGGCTCGATCCCAGGACCCTGGGATCATGACCTGAGCCGAAGGCAGACGCTTAATGCCTGAGCCACCCAGGCGCCCTGAAAATTCTGAGATTTAGAAAATAAAGAATAAGTAGTTTCCACTAAGGAGATGTATAGTATAATTGTATTTATATTTTTATTGCTGTTACTTTAGCTTATACTAAAGGCACACTGAAAGGGAGTTAGGGAATTGGGACATAACTTTTGCTTCTCTGTAGTTAAAATTGTAATGTCTCCAGAATAATGAAATTATTATTCTGAAAATAATGGGTTATTAATTATTAACAGAAAAATTGGGTTAAAGTTATGTCTAATAAGTACTGATTCAAGCCTGTTAAAATCAGAATGTCTTATAGAAGGATCAAGAGAGAGATGGCATGCTTATTGATGGCCTGCTTATTGTTACATTTTTTAAAAAAGATTTTATTTATTTCTAGAGAGAGAGAGAGAGAGTGTGGGAGTGTGAGCAGGGGAAGGAGCAGAGGGAGAAGGATTAACAGACTCTGTGCTGAGGGCAGAGCCTAGTGTAGGGCTAAATCTCAGGACCCTGACATCATGACCTGAGTCGAAATCAAGAGTGGGATACTTAACTGACTGAGCCACCCAGGTGGCTATTGTTACATTTGTTACATTTTTAGACCCATGACCTGAGGAGATGTGGTGTGACCACATTACTCAATAATAGAACTGTGAGACTGAGGTAGTGTTAGTTGAAAAAATGCTTCAAGGTTACTCTGCAAGACAACTCCAACTGTAATGTAGTTAGGGCTATATATGAGTATTTTGGTGTATGTGATATTATTTTTTAAAATCCCTCATCTAACTCTAGTCCTTGTGTAAGCATCATCACTGAACCAGTCCATTCACAGCTAACACTTGCTGTATCCTCTTAAATGTCCTTATACAGACCTGATGATCCAGAGCAGTAGCCCAAGCCCAAGATCATTTGCTCCAACAAAGACCAGTTGTCAGAATTTTGTAGTTCTTTTTTAGGAAAGATACTAGAGAAGGTGAGAGAAAGAAATAGCTGAAGTATTAAAAATACTCAGTTCATTATATACCTGTTGAGACCTTTCTCTTGACTAAGGATGCAGAGATTAGTAGGAGACAAAGTAGCCCTTAAAGATAGCTTAGAAATTAGCCATTTAGTAATTTTATCCCTTTTTGAATGCTTTTATTTAAAAGGGGCATCCATTTTCGGTTTCCCCTATGCATGAAGAAGGGCATCTTGAGTCCAGTGCAAGTAAGCATGTATAACATTCTTTATAATTTTCCTGGTATATTCTTACCAGATAAAAAGTAAATGCTTCTGTATATACTAGTGTAAGCAGTTCATTAGTAATTACTTCCTGCAGCAAAATTAGTATTTCATTTTTGAAGAACAATTTTAAAGAAATAAATTATTGAATACTATAAAATTACCCCCCTTTTCTCTAAAAACTAAAAATTAAAAGATTCAGTAACTTTGGGATTTATGGCTTTAATATTTTGTTTTTAGCTTAAAATTACTATTACTATTAATATTAGTATTAAGTACCATGAATATTGTTCTTGTAAGATAATCTGAATCTTAGTAGAAAATTTAGATAAATGGCTTATGTTAAGGGCAAGTAATTACTTATTTTTTTAGTACCTGCTTCCCTTTTAAAATATAAGGATTAAGTATTTTATTATTTATATACCATGGAGATTGTAGAAACCTGGATTGATGATGTCAGTATTATTATTGAATTATTGAAAGGGTATCCTTAATTTGTAGATACACTCAAGTGTTTGAGGTTAATGGCTTATTAATTATAGTAAGGTTTAAATGAGATGAGCAACTTAAATCATTAGGTGATAAGTTTTCTTTTTTTTTATGTAGATCAATCTATAATGGATGTTTTGAAACATAAAAGTTTTCTAGAAGAACTATTGTTTTGGACTATAAAGTATGAATTCCCTCAGAAGATGGTAACTTTCTTACTCAACATGCTTCCAGATCAAGAGTATAAGGTATCAATGTTTTTTCCCTTCCTTTCTGAACTTTGCTCCCCTTTCTTTGCCATTTCATTATGAAAATTTTTTGGTTTGTTTTTAAGCTGTGGCTTATTTTATTGTAGCTTTGAGGACTGAGATAACACTAATAAAAAGCATTAGCTTCCTTTGCTGTCAAAACAGGGTTTGCACAAAAAGCACAGGATCATAGCAGTATTCTTAAGGGTAGTCTGTCTGCATGAAACTTGGTCCAAAGAGAATGCTTGGGGACAAACAAAAACATAATTACACAAGTAAATATGTAGTCAATTAAATTGTGGTAGGTTCTCCAAAGGAGAGGTACAAGGTGCTATGAGAATGTTTAAGGGGGCAACTGAATTTGGATTGTGGGGCTAGAGGGGCATCTGGCTGGCTCAGTTGGTAGAGCATGCTACTCTGGATCTCGGGGTCATGAGTTCAAGACCCATGTTAGGTGTAGAGATTACTTAAAAAAAAAAATGGATTGTGGGGTTAGGTTTGAGAAAATCATAGGGTGCTGGCCATAACCATTAAAGACAGAACAGTTTTGACCTATATACACATGTAGGTAGGTGAAGGCTCTAGTCCCAGAGGGTCTGGACCCTCACCTATGACCACCATGTGGTTATGGCAAAGTCACACAGCCTAGTGTATGAAAAGAAAATAAATTTTGTTGTTGTTCTTCTTCTTCCTTTTTTTTTTTTTTTTGGCTGTAGTTCTTCTTATGGTTTAGGTAACAAAGCCTCTTTAAGAGTTACACTTTAATGAATAATGCCATTGTTTTGTGTCTTTATACCCGTTTAAGAAAACAAGAAGAAATGTATATGTTACATAGAAAGAGTATTTATTTAGTCAGATAGTGGTCAGCTTTCCAGTCAAATAGAAGACATTTCTTTTGGAGTAATCACATTGCCTTTCTTGATTTTAGTTATATTAAATCCTCTGGTATGGTTTTTAGTTGAGACTTTCGATTTTGTTGTTAAAGTAGATAGCACAGAACAAAGATACCTACTTTGACATTAGTTAATTGATATATTTGTAAGCAAAGTGTATTTGTATTTTTAAATCATGGTATTTATAATTGTTCTAAAACTTTAATAATTTAAAGTGCCTACTAAAATTTTTGTAACCACCCAAGTATTTTGTTAATGTTCCAAACAAAAGAATGTGACTACCATCATAATTGAAATTACTTTTAAAATTACTGTGGATGTCATCATAAGCTAATAATAGCTTTCAAATGTTGATACTAGGTATTGGAAAATGTGTTATAAAACTCAAAGTTAAACTAATATGTTTTTTTCTTCCTATTTAAAAAAATTTACAGGTTGCTTTTACAAAAACTTTTGTTCAGCATTATGCTTTCATTATGAAAACACTGAAGAAAAGTCACGAATCAGACACAATGTCTAACAGAATTGTGCATATTAGTGTTCAGTTGTTCAGCAATGAAGAGCTAGCCAGACAGGTAACAGAAGAATGTCAGCTGCTGGATATTATGGTCACTGTGCTATTATACATGATGGAAAGTTGCCTTATTAAAAGTGAGCTACAAGGTAAACTCAGAATTATTTCACTAGTTTTATTATTGGTATACTTTGTGTAACTAGTCTTAAAAACCTCCTTTTATGCTTAAGATAACTTTAAAAATATTATAAAATAATACATCTTTGCTAAAGAATTTTTTGAAAATTTTCATCAAAATTTAAAGACAAACTTTATTATTTTTAAGACAAACTTTAAAATTACCTTTAGCTTTGTTATTCACAAATAACTATTGTTAACATTTTTGGATATTTTTCTGTCTTTTTGTGTGGTAAGAGTATATTTACAGATTCAAATAATACTTTAAAAATATACTACAACTTTAAAAATATGTTACTATATTGTACATGTTGAAAACATGTTTTTAAATGATTGCAGGTATTATATGGATTTACCATAATTTAACCATTTCTTTATTAGACATATTCCTATTTTTTATTATAAATTTGTTTTTATCTGCCTTAGACATTTTTATATGCCTATAGTTTTAGACTTTAAAAGTTGAAATAAATCTTGCCTTTTTTTGTTTTCCCTTAGTGAGGTCTTTAGTTTTTTCTTTGGTGCCTACTATATGATTGATACTCCTCAAACTACCATAATACTTCTAGGACCTCCTCCCATTCTCATTTCACTGTGGTCTTTCATCTTAACTTTACCTCTCTGTAACAATTTGTATTATTTGAGTATTTGCTATGTATGAGGCACTGTATTAATACCATTCGTATGTTGTCTCAGTTAAGCTTCTGAACAGTTCTCTGAGATTGGTATTATTATTATCCTTATTATTCTCACTTTAAAGATGAATAAGTTGAGGCTTAGAGAAGTTAAGGCATTTACCATAGGTAATACAGCTAGTAAATGACAGAGCCAAGGTCTTCTTATCTCCTGATGTCAGAATCTGCCCTTACCCATGACACAAAGCAGGTCAACATCGATTGTATTGTATCTTCACTTGTTGGCACGTGGAGCTAAACTTTAATAACAAACAATACGTGAGATTAAATCTTAGGACCTTTCCATTGTCTTTGGAGGAGAGATCTTGTAGTTGAGACTTGCTTTGTTCCCCTTTTACCTCCTTTTGCATATCAACTACTGTTTTCTCTCTGTTCTCATGTGATCTATTCTCATGTGATACCATAACCTGAAAATTGGTGTATGCTCAGTGCAGGATGCAATGCCTTATATATGCTAATAATAGCTAGCAAATATGATAGCTACCATCTTTTGAGCACTCACTATGTGCTATGCTCTTTTCTCAATACTTTGTATTATGTTATTTAACCATCTGTGAAGTAGATACTGTTTTTTCCATTTTATAGGTGAGGGAACTGTGGCTTAGGGAGTTGAAGTCAATGATCTATGGTTTTATAGCTGTAAATAGTAAGGCTGGGTGTCTGCTCACTATGTGACTCTGTCTTCCTATTGTAGGTATAGTGGGAGCATAATACATTATTTACATTAAGCAATATATCTCTTCACATTTTAAAGGAAAATTTAAAAGCTGCTTTGCATTATAGCTCTTCTGTCTTCATGTAAGATGACCCTTTTTTTCCGAAGATTCAGCTACATATATTACATGTATTGCTTTTCCTTTTTTGAAATAGTATCTATCATCATTCAGTTGTATCAATGATATTCTTATATATAGAATTATATATTTAGAGAAGGACTTTTCACAAAAAGAGTATTTTTAATTTATAAACTAGAAATCTTTAATTTTTAAAAATTGTTTTAAATTTTTAAATTTTTATTTGAGAGAGTGAGAGAGGTGGGGGGGGATGGAGGGAGAGGAAGAGAGAGAGAGAGAGTCTTAAGCGGACTCCATGCTGAGTGTGGAGCCCCATGCCAGGCTCTGTCTCATGACCCTGAGATCATGACCTGAGCTGAAATCAAGAGTTAGATGCTTAACTGACTGTACCACCCAGGTGCCCCTAAACTAGAAAACTTTTTTTTTTTCTCAAAGATTTTACTTATTTATTTTGACAGAGAGAGAGAGACAGTGAGAGAGGGAACACAAGCAGGGGGAGTGGGAGAGGGAGAAGCGGACTCCCAGCTGAGCAGGAAGCCTGTTGCAGGGCTCGATCCCAAGACACCGGGATCATGACCTGAGCCGAAGGCAGACGCTCAGTGATTGAGCCACCCAGGCGCCCCTAGAAGACTTTTAAAATTTAGAAGTATCTGCTCTTTTGGAAAGAATCTGGAGTCTATTTTCTTGACTAAATGGTTTAGCTGTGCTTATTAGTTATATATAGTTTGCCCTTGATCTTCAAGGAAGAATGTTTGAGATGTGTTGAAATCTCCTATTTTTTCTGTAGCTAGATTTCCTGAAAGAGTTTATATTTGTTTCCTTGCTTTTTAGTCACTTAGTAACTGACCTCAGTGTAGTGTCCACTGCCATCATTCTGTTGCTCTCTCTGACATTGTTTGTGACTCTAGTGGTCACATGTTCTGCTTTTCCCAGAATGGCTCCAAGTAATCCTATTGTTCTGACATAGTTATTTATACAATCTCCTTTACTCTCAAAACTCCCATTTTATACAATAAATTATATGCTCACCCTTTTAATGACACACAGGATGGGGAAACCTGTGGCCACTCTTTGGACCTTATCTTTCCTGATTTTCAGTAGCATTTCACACTGCTGATCGTCTGTTCTTTCTGTGACCCAAAACTCTTTTCTGCTTGTTCTGTTGATGTTGGTGTTTTTTGTCACTTTGTCCCGGTATCTTTGCTCTTCTCACTTTTCCCATGTTTTCTGAAATCATACTGCAAAGTCTTATTTTGCTTTCTGTATATACTTCCCTTCTAATGCAGTTAGTCTGTTCTGGAGATTCTTACACAAATTGAATTTTCCGGAAGCTAAATAGCTGTTAGTAGCGTTGCTAACTAAGATCCTTAAATATAAATGTATTTTTTCCAGCAGTAAATTAATTATTTCTAAGCCAAGGTCTAAAATGATCTTTAGCTCCCATGGTGTTTTATTCCTCTTTTAAAAGTAGCATAATGTTTCATGATACATTTATTGGTTTTCTAGAAGCACCATAAACTTTCCTGTTTTTACATAAAGAGTATTAGAATGGGCTTTAAATATATTGAACTACCTGTAACTAGCTACAGATATTACAACAGGATCTCTGTTGTAATAAACAAATACTTTGTTTTTATTTTTTAATAATTCTATCTAGCTTTTGCAGAAATTTTCATTAACAGTATTTGAAGATTTTGTCTATACTATTAGTAAATACAGAAGCTGATACAATGAGAATTCACATGGCCACAGCAATAGCTAAAGATTAAAAGGAAAAAGCCTCTAGTAGTAAGCGATCCCTACCTTACACTTTTACTTTGTTATATTTGCTTCTGCACCATATTACTTTGTGATTCCAAACAACTCATAACTACTTGTATCCCTGAAATTTTACAATTTGTCATATGAAACAGTCTATATAAAAATGGAAACTTAAAACCATATGTTGCAGGGGTGCCTGGGTGGCTCAGTCGGTTAAGCATCTGACTCTTGATTTTGGCTCAGGTCACGATCTCAGGGTTGTGGGATCGAGCCCCACGTCGGGCTCTGCACTGGGCATGGAACCTGCTTAAGATTTCCTCTCTCTCTCCCTCTGCCCCTTTCTCCCGCACTCACTCTTTATCTCTCTCTCACAAAAAAGCCAAAAAAACCCCCCAAACCCCCAAAACTGTATGTTGCTTAACCATAAGAATATCTGTAGATGGTAATAATCCCAGATTGATCTGTCCTGCATATCACACTGTTTACTGAGCTATATTCTTTGGATGTCTCCAAGTACCTCAAACACACAATGTCCACACCAAAAATTCCTTCTTCTCTCTCTATCAAGCCTGCTTCTTTTCTATTATTGTGTGTGTGTGTGTGTGTGTGTATGTATGTATGCGTATGTGAGTACACAAGTGTTTGGGTACCATCCTCCAACCACCTATACAGTTGCTCAAGTTAACAACCTAGGAGTCATTTTTTACTTCTTCGTGCTCCTTGTAGATGCAATGAACATCACCAAGTCTGTCATTTAAACCTTCTGAACATCTTAAAATAGCTGTTTCTCTTCATCTTTACATCTTCACGCCACCACCATAGTTCAAGCCGTTGCCGTCTCTAGGCGTCATACCACTAGCCATCACCACCCTCCTTTAGTCACTGTCCACACTGCGTATCTGATCATGTCCCTGTCTCTCAGCCCTGCCCCCCAGTGGCTTGCCATCCTCTTCACATGAACTCCAAACTCCTGAAGCTGATTTTTAAGGCCTTCTGGTTTCATTTGTGCCACCCATCCTCTGCATTCTTTGTCCCAGCGATTCCATTCTTTTTTTTTATATTGCTTCCTCTACCTAGAACACAGTTTCTTCTCACATCCCTAGTTTATTTGGCTGATCCTAATTCCTCCTTCATTCCGTAGATCTTAGTTTAGACATCACTTCCTCAGGAGAGTCTTTTCCTCAATTGTAGACTAGCTGTATTTGTTCTTATAACTTCTTATACTTTGCCTATGATAGCTGTATCACACTGTCTTCTTATCTCAGTGGATAGACTGTGTAAGTTTTGATTTATTTACCACTTTATTCTCAGAACTTAATAGAATACCTGGCCCTCAGTAAGTGCTCAATAAATATTTGTTGATGAGTGAATCTCAGTTGGGGAAAAATAGAAGTCCTAGTCACTTTATTTTACCAAAGGTTCCAAGGTGTTTTTCATAAGAACAGTAGTATTTAAAGCAGAGCCAGGAAAATAGTCATTTTGATTAATTGTATTCTGCTTATTTATATTCTGGTTTCAGTTGAATAGAACAGTGATTTTCACTGTTTAAAAAATTTTAAATTCCAGGATCACTGAGCACTGTCCCATTAATATCAACTGCTCACCAGCTCATGGTGGCAGTAGTTGTCAGTCAGAGAGGGTTTTCTCATCTCAGGTGTGGGTGGTTTGTAAAAGCCCCACTTCTTCATTCAGTTACACCCTCTCTCATCCTATTGAGAGGCACTAAAAGAGAGCATACTTAACTTTGTGGGTCCTGTTCTTATATATTATTAAATTTAAGAGTTGGGTAAAGTAATTTCATGGACTGAAACCTAAATTTAATGTATGGAAAATAAGAAGTGCAGTAGAAGCCGCTTCAGTGATGAGTTTATTTTTTTAAATTTTTAAAAAAGATTTTGCTTGACAGTGAGCTCGTGCGCTCAAGAGAGAGACAGAGCACATGCGCGCGTGTGTGCATGTGCACAAGTGGGGGGAGGGGCAGAGGGAGAGGGAGAAGCAGACTCCTCGCTGAGCAGGGGCTCAATCCCAGAGCAAGACCCTGAGATCAGGGCCTGAGCAGAAGGCAGACGCTTAACCAACTGAGCCACCCAGGCGCCCCCATTGATGAGTTTAACAAGTAGATGGTTAGTTGAAAAAGTTGGTTAAAGTGAGGAATCATAAAAAAAAGATACATGTATTAGACAGTGCTTTTTAACTTAAAATACAGAGATGCTTGTTCATTCTCTAATCTGTTAATTTTGGGCAAAGCATTTTTTTTTTTTAAAGATTTTATTTATTTATTCATGAGAGACAGAGAGAGAGAGAGAGAGAGGCAGAGGGAGAAGCAGGCTCCCAAGGAGCCAGGAACCTGATGTGGGACTCGATCCCAGGACTCTGGGATCATGACCTGAGCCGAAGGCAGATGCTTAACCATCTGAGCCACCCAGGCGCCCTGAGGGCAAAGCATTTTTAAGTTATGGTTTCCTTGACTGGAGTTCTCCCTCATCACTTCTGCAAAGCATCACCCGTGATTTCCAGTTTCAGTTTCTTTAGATTTAGAACATAAAAATCTTTTTTTTTTTAAACATTTTATTTATTTATTTGAGAGAGAGAGAATGAGAGAGAGCACATGAGAGGGGGGAGGGTCAGAGGGAGAGGCAGACTCCCCACCGAGCAGGGAGCCCGATGCGGGACTTGATCCTGGGACTCCAGGATCATGACCTGAGCCGAAGGCAGTCGCTTAACCAACTGAGCCACCCAGGCGCCTGAACATAAAAATCTTTATGAAGCAATCTGAGTGTAAAATTCTAGGTTTTTATGATTTTTCTCTAAGATTTTTTAACGTTTTCTTAAGCACTTTTATTGTCTCTCAAAAGCTTGTGATCCAGTTTTTGTAATACCTGTCTTCATTTATTCATATTTTATCAGTTTATGTACTTTAAATTTTATAATAAAAAGAACAGTTAGCATGCACAGAAACAAAAACAGACTCTGGATAAGTATATATCTTGGCTTCTGTACTAGGGAATAGGTTACTAGCTTTGAGCATTCTGTATATTATGGGTATTAGTATGTTTTACAGTAGGAATGGGGGGCTCATTTGTCCAGTGAATTAGTTAATTTGGAATAGGTTAAGAGAGCTAATGCATATAGGCTCTAACTTCTAATAGTAAAGATTTGTACATATCTAATCTTTCCCTACCCACAATAATTAAACTTTGAGGATTTTTTTTAAAGACTTAAGAAGTTTATTTATGTGTGTATCTTTCATTTTTGGAATACTGTATTTGCTAAAAAGTTATATTTACATATTCTCTGAGTAGAAGAAAGCAATTATGTATCGCTTATATCATACAGATTTGTTGATAAGATGTAATGAGATTAATCTAGGGATAAAAATATTTTATTGATTGGAACTGAAGATACTGCATTATGTTGTTAAAATCAAGAAAATAATAAGGTTTTATGAACATATAGCTAGTTCAATAACATATAATATGTTAGACATGTGGTAATAATTATTATAATGATGTGCTTAGTGTTGTGTTAGTGCTTCATTTAATTCCCTTAAGATACGTGTCTTTTCCCCATTTTGTAGATGGGGAAATTGATTCAGAGTCTAAGTAACACACCATATGTCTGCCTGGAGTTTGAATTTAGAGATCCCTGATTCTAATGTATATAATGTATATCATTGGTAAAGGTTTTTTTTTTTTTTTAACTTATTTATTACTGGACTGTGTGTGTCTGTTTTAGATGAAGAAAATAGTTTACATGTGGTAGTGAACTGTGGAGAAGCATTACTGAAGAATAACACTTACTGGCCTCTTGTCAGTGATTTTATTAATATCCTTTCTCATCAAAGTGTGGCTAAGAGATTTTTGGAGGACCACGGTTTGTTAGTTACGTGGATGAACTTTGTATCTTTCTTTCAAGGTATGAATTTTACTTTTTTTGTTATTTTTTTTAGTTTACAAAATGCCTAATGCAGAACCATCAAATATACTAATTAAGAGATAATAGCACATTGTTCAGGTTACATGTGAAATGTCTCATTTTAATTAACATTTGTAAGTACTTTAATCAAGTGTTCATGAAAATGTCAGAGTTATGAAAAATACCAAATTATTAAAAAGGAAACAGGAGTGTAAATCCTGGACTTTAAATCATTAATCTATTCTTCAAGAAAGATTTATAACACTTTCATAAAATTTCAACAATTATGAAACAAAATTTCATAAAATTTCAACAATAGTTTTGACTTTCTTATTTAACATATTCAATTATGTTATATAAGAGACAATTCACAAAGTGTTTCTAAGAAAACCTAGTTTGTAAAAACTTCTAAAAGGACCAGATTATTTTACTTTAAATAATTTATTTATTTCTCTACATATTGTGTCACTTATGCCATTTGTGTGCACTGAGTGTTTGGTACTAGGAAGTATTTTACTTGATTTTTAATATGAATACTTGCTTCCATTTGGCAAGGTTTATATCTGCTTTAATTTTTGCAAGGTATGAACTTAAACAAGCGAGAACTAAATGAGCATGTGGAATTTGAGTCTCAGACCTACTATGCTGCCTTTGCTGCTGAACTTGAGGCCTGTGCACAGCCAATGTGGGGGCTCTTATCCCACTGTAAAGTTAGGGTATGTTGAAAATGTTTTTGTTAATTTCTGTCTTTACCTTTAAAAGAGTGATTTAAGAAAAAGATGTGTGAGAACATTGATTTGTTTACTCATATATATTAATGGGCAGTGTTTAATTATGAATTCAGCTCTGTGAAAGCTGACCTGAGACATTATTATTCTTCGGCAAGTTGGAGTTCATTATATTATCAGATCCTTGCAGCCTTCCCTTACTGTGAATAGTCTTTGGAGCTTTAGAAGTCTCCACATTTATCTTTATTGCTTCATTTTATCCATTATCAATTAATTGCCTGATGCTTCTTGTCTTTTAAGGAATGAGAATAGTTCTTAATAAAGTTTACATTTTTAAGATTCCAAGCACAAAATTAGTATACATTTCATATAACTTCCAGTTGTCTGCAAAAGGAATCTTAAGAGTAGCATGGCAGCAACATAAATTCTTATAATTGGGTAAGAAAATGATCACTTGTAATTGCATGGACTTGTGTCTTTGTATATATATATTTTACTTTTGCGTTTTAAAGTTTTGGTTTGATGGGTCTCCAGGGTCCTTGGATGATCCAGAAAAATGGGATTTCCTGACCCTACTAAACTAAGAACTTGACTGAGATTTTGCTATATGGATCCCATGAAGACCACTGCCAGCCTGTATCAATAAGAATGCTGGACAAGATTTTATAGTGGAAATATTTTAAAGCCTTGGATTCTGAGCCTGGCTCTGCCTTTTTCTACTTACATTGCTTGGTCAATTCATTTAAAACTATTTGATCGTCTCCTTCTTTCTCCTTATTTTTTAGGGAAAAAAATTGGAAACAGGACACTAAAGCCTGCCCTTCTTCACAGGGTTATTATGAGGTCCTCCTCCATATGTTCTTTATTTTATTTTATTTTAAATTTTATTTTATTATGTTATATTAATCACCATACATTACATCATTAGTTTTTGATGTAGTGTTCCGTGATTCATTGTTTGCGTATAACACCCAGTGCTCCATTCAGTACGTGCCCTCCTTAATACCCATCACCGGGCTAACCCATCCCCCCACCCCACTCCCCTCAGTTTGTTTCTCAGAGTCCATAGTCTCTCATGGTTCGTCTCCCCCTCTGATATACCCCCCCTTCATTTTTCCCTTCCTGCTATCTTCTTCTTCTTCTTTTTTTTTTTTAACATATAATGTATTATTTGTTTCAGAGGTACAGGTCTGTGATTCAGCAGTCTTACACAATTCACAGCGCTCACCATGTTCTTTAAATATATAAGTTCCTTTAAGCAGATTTATATTTTCTCTCATGACTTCAGCTATTCTCCAAATGCATGTGACTTACAACTTTGTTAGTCTAGCCTGGTTCAGATTTCCAACAGCTCTGGTTATTCATGTAGATTTCCTTATAGGTACATGAATTTTCTCAAGCCCCTAACTAGCTTATTAAATTCATCTGCCCGTACTATGTCCTGTATGTCATTTAATGGTGTCTGAAAATACACAGTTATCTAATTAGAGAAACTTTCTCTCCTTGCTGTGCCAGTTGTGTTCAACCTGTAATCAGATACCATGAAGTTTCTCTTCTGTTCCAGAAATTCTCCCTACCACTTCTTTCCTGTGTTTTAATTTATTTCTTTATCTTTAAAATCTGGATTGTTAAGATAATTTAACTGGTTTCCTCGCCTCTAAATTCTTCCTCTCTAATCTGTCCCAATACTGAAATTACTTTTCTAAGCTCTGTGCATATCTCTCCTTTGCTTAAAATATCGTTAAAATTCTCATCTATCTACAGGGCAACATCTGTGTTTCCTATAGAGACATTTAAGATCCTCCATCATTTGCCCTTAACTTGTCTCTCATAATTCATCTTCCATCTATACCCCTCTGTCTATCTCCATGTCTTCACTGGATTGAATACCATTCTTCAACATGTGGTGTCCTCTCTTGATTCCTGTGCTTTTGTTCAAATAGTCCCTTTTTTGGCTTATGGTCTCTCATTCTTTGTTTATTCTTACATGAGAATCATCTTGGAAGCTTTAAGGATACATGTGCCTAAGTCCCACTGTCAGAGATTTTGATTTATTTGATGTGCAGAAGGACCTTTGCAGTGATTCTAACCAGAGTGAAGAACCACTAGTGTGTTAGCTCTTCAGAAATGCTACTCAGCTGATATGTAATCTGCTCAGTTAAGTTCTTTCAGTCAGGTTTATGATTCTAGTTTCAGTGTTCCCATAGTACTTTGTTTAATTCCCGCTGTAGCATTTATAAAGAAAACTGTCATATAATATGAACTTCATTTGTTCATTCACTAAAAAAAACCTTGTTGAATGCTATTCTTATACCTGACACTATCTAGAAACTATCTAGATGCGTGGGTTTTGGGTGTTGAACCAAACAGACATGGTTCTTGTTCTCCTGGGGCAGTCTGATGGGGGAGATAGAGGTTAAGTAGGTAAACACAGATTCATTTTTTAAGTGCTCTATAGGAAAATAACCGGTTGCTGTGAGAGTAATGAGTGTGGGGACTGCTTTGTCTTGTGCTCAAAAGCGAAGTCAGGCCGAAGGTTATAAATTTTAGACCTTGGTAATGTAAATGGTATTTGTCACCAGGGGGTGGGATGAGATCAAGTAGGGAGAGAAGTGGACCCTGAAGAAAGACCTAACATTGCGACATCAGAGATAAGGGTGCTGGAGAAAAACCAGAGGAACTCAGTATCCCATAAGCCAACAAAAGACAGCGATGCAGCAGGGAGGTTGATATGATGTTAATATGAAAAGATCAGTATTTTAGGAGGATTATTCTGACAGCTATTTAGGATGAATTTGGATTATGAAGTTGGGGTTATGTTTATCTCTGATAATGAGAACTCATTGTTTCTAGGCAGTAGTTTAATTTTTAGCTTTGAATGCCAGGATTGCAGTGTGTTATGGTTCCCTTAACCTAAGAAGTGAAGAGAATCGAGAAAACAAGTTCGTATTGTCCTCATAGAATCTGAGAGTAGTTTCTCAGTTATGGGAGTATTAAGTTCCTAAGTAAGACATTCTCTTGATGAGCACCCACATTCTGCCAGATGTTGTTCTTCACACTATATTCTTTGCATTATATTCTTATCTAGTCCTTATTGCATCTCTTATACAGTAGATAGTATCATCTCTTTCTTTCAGAAGTTAAATAACTTGTCCAAGTTCACACAGCTATTAAGTAGAAGCTAAGTTTGAAAACAAATGCATTTGATTTCAGAACTTGTGCTCTTTCCCACTTTGCTGTAATTGTCTGTTAAAAGCAAGAATATCTAGAGCTTTTTAGCAGTACTGTTGTTGGGTTTTATTTTATTTTATTTTATTTTTAAAGATTTTATTTATTTATTTGACAGAGACAGAGACAGCGAGAGCAGGAACACAAGCAGGGGGAGTGGGAGAGGGAGAAGCAGGCTTCCCGCTGAGCCGGGAGCCCGATGCGGGACTCGATCCCAGGACCCTGGGATCATGACCTGAGCCGAAGGCAGTCGCTTAACCAACTGAGCCACCCAGGCGCCCTGTTGTTGGGTTTTAGAAATATAAGGTAGAAGAAAGACTATTAAAGTAAAAAATTAGCTATTTCGTTGTTTCTGTTCTCTAATTATAAGATATAAAACTAAAGGATTAACAATAAAAAGAACTTCACCTGATAGCTTACTTTCTTTGTATGATTGCCCTAAATGCTGTTTGGTTCTTGAAAATGTTAGGGGCTAATTAAACAATACTAGATTGATAACAGATAGATTGGATAAAGGGATGGCACATTTCCAGAATCTTACTAATTTTTGCCTTCCTAACAGAACAAATAAGCTCTAGAATCTCCATCTAGTGGCAGCTTTAGGTTACTGCAGACTTGACGGAAGTAGTCTGGCCATGACCCTTTGGAGCCCGTAACCGCTTGTCACACATAGTACCAGATGATGACACAGAGCATTTTACAAACATTATTTCATTTGCTTCCTTCACAGTACTAGGAGGTAGATAGTATTGTGTCCATTTATGTCCATTTTTACGTATGGATAAAGAGACTGACAAGGTTTTAAAACTAGTATCTCAACATGCGCAATGCATTTTTTTGGGTGGGTGTGTTAGTGGTGAGAGATGGCAGAGAGATGATCTGGACATGATTATTAAATATGCCGTATTTAGGAATGGAATTAATTGGTCACCTTTTTAAAGGCTCTTGATACATGCTTTGCAAATTTTTCTCCAGAAGGGTCATATCAGTTTATACTTATACCAAGAGGGTATTATGATACTCCTTTGCTCAAACTCTTGATAAAATGGGAGCACATTTGATTTTAAATGTTTCTTTATCTGTGACTTATCTGCCACTTTAGTTTGGTTATGACACATTATTTATGGTAACTTAAAAGTGCCATTAATTTTTTTTCAGTAAGAAATAAGGAACATAATGTATAAAATAATATTTTTATAAAATAAATTTCATATAGGATAGATTAAAATGGTGAAACTGTTGGCAAGGAAATTAGATAAGTGATATTTGGTCTGGATGGTAGTGGACGTAAGAGTGGACCTACATGATAATATTAAGGAAGAATTAACAGGACAGCAGACTGAGCAGGGTGAAGGAGAAGGCAGCAATGGGAGACTTTTAGCTTTCTTTAAAGGCACAGTAATTTATATATGTAGCTAAAGATTTTAACCTACTTGACTTTGATGCTACATTTTATTATACATTATAATTATACATTATTTTATTATACATTAAGGCCCCCAAATGCACTTTTATTATACATTAAGGCCCCGAAAGTCTTTAAAAATTTTTGTTTGATTGATTTCAAATTTATACAACCTAAAATTCTATATTTTAACCATTTTAAAGTATTCAGTTCAGTCTTGTAGTATATTCACAAAGCTGTGCAGCTGGTACCACAAATTCCCCAGTAATCACCCATCCCCTAAAGAAACCTTATACCTCCTAGTCCCAACCTCCTCTTATTCCCTGGAAACCACTGATCTCCCATCTGTCTCTATGAATTTGCGTAATCTAGGCATTTCATATAAGTGGAATCATACAAGATATGGCCTTTTGTGTTTGTCTTCTTTCACTTAGCATAATGTTTTCATGGTTCAACTATGGGCGTGTATCATTTCTTTTTATAGCCGAATAGTAATCCATTACATAGATATACCACATTCTACCTGTCCATTCATGGGTCAATGCCATTTTTTAGTTACTGTGGATAATGCTGCTGTGAGCATTTGTATGTAAGTTTTTGTGTGAACCTATGTTTTTAATTCTCTTGGGTATATGAGAGTAGAACTGTTTGGTCATATGGTAACTCTGTTTAACGTCAAAGTGGCTGTGCCATTTTGCATTTCCACCAGCAATGTATGAGAGTTCCAGTTTCTCCACATCCTTGCCAACACTTTTTATTTTGCATTTAAAAAATTAGAGCCTTCCTACAAGGTATGAAGTGATACCTTATTGTGGCTTTGATTTGCATTTTCCTAATGACTGGTAGTGTTGAACATCTGTTCGTGTGCTTATTAGCCATTTGTAGATCTTCTTTGGAGAAATGTCTATTCAGATCCTTTGCCCGTTATTACTATTATTTTTTAAAGAGAGGCTATCATGATTTATTTTGCCATTTAACTTAGTAGTTGCCTATTTCAGTGGATCCATTTCTCCATAAAACATTATAACTTTCTTTCATAGTACCTTCGAGTGGTACGCACTTATCTTTTCTTCTTAGCAAGCTAAGATATTCACAGGCTGCTCATAGTACTTAAATGTTCTGTGCTCCTTTTTTTGTCTGTTTGTTTTTATTTTTTATTGTGGCAAATATGCATAATATAAAATTTCATTTTTAGGTGTGCAGTTCATTGACATTAAGTACATTCTCAGTGTTGGGCAGCCATCACCACCATTCATCTCTAAGACATTTTCATCATCCCCAAAGAAACTGTACTCATTAAACAGTAAATGTTAAGGAACATAAAATATTTTTGAAATCTCCTCGAATGGAATTTGATATGCATCACAAACTATTTCAGCTTTGATTCATTTTTAAGAATATATTATATAAAACATAGCATGCTGTGTTTTTTAATTTTCCTAATTGTCTCTGGTCATTACTGTTAATTTGTGAAAGGATTTCTTAAAATGGCAAATGTGGTTATTTTGATAATATATATATTTTACCATTATTTTTATGTATTACATATAATTTGAAGTTGAAAATATACATATTTATATAGTGTAAAATTTGTGTAACTTATTATTTTAGGAAACTCAAGAATACACCCGAAACGTTGTTAGATATTGCCTTGAAGCTCTTCAAGACTGGTTTGATGCTATTAACTTCGTAGATGAGGTATGTATATTTTTGACATATATAGAGGCATTTAAAAAAAGTGTTAGATCTCATTTAACACTGAAAATAATATCTTTTCATGGGATAAGAGAAAGAAGTCAGAATGAGGATAATACCATTAGGTTTAAAAAAGGAGAGGTGGAAGATCAGTTCTTCGACATTTAGGAGATTCTGAAGTGTACTAATCATACTTGCTTATATCCTAGAGAAGGGCGTAATTTCTTTTTCTGTTATTAAGTGTATATGTCTCCATATTTCTCAGGAGTAAAAATTAGTTTCATTTGGAGAGGTTAAAGTGACAGTGCAAATGTGAATAGGATCGGGGAGATTAATGGAAAGGGTGTTACATCTTCATTAATGGTCAGTGTTCTCCTGTGGGCTTGAACCAAGGTGATTGTTATTAATAATGAGTTAAGAAGAGTTGGCACAGAACATACAGTATATGAATTAAACAAGGGCTTGCTTGTAATTAGTCAGCGAAGTTTCCTATCAGAAGCCCCTTTTATTCCTCTTATAAAGTGGGTCATAATATGCCATATGTATAAGAAGGACCATGTTTCAGACAACTCCAACTCCCCCATCTGATTTCTGAATCCTGGGCAGATGGAACCCCTGCTGTCTTTTTGTGTGTATGTGTGTGGGTGGGGGGAGTTTTTCTTTCTTTCTTTTTCTTTGCCTTTCTTTAAAAAAAATTTTTTTTGATACAATCACAAACTTACTGAAAATTTGGAAGTGGAGTACAAAGAACTTTGTTTTCTCGAACCATTTGACTTGATGCCCATTACTCCCAAATACTTTAGTGTGTATTTCCTACAAACAAGGTATACAACCAGATACAACTATAAAAATTAGGAAGTTAACGTTAATATATTATTACTTAGAATTCCTTCATGTTTTATAAATTGTCCAGTGTTGTCCTTTATAGCAAAAGCATCCTGTTCTGAATCCAGTGTTGCATTTAGTCATCATGTCTCTAGTCTCCTTCTGGAACACTTTCTTATTTTGTAGAGTACAGCTAATTCAGTTATGTTATAGAACACTCCTCAGTCTGGGTTTGTCCCATGATTAGATTCAGATTATGCCTCCATACTTTCAACCTGTTTTATTCTTCTTTGCCCCCTCTAGGATTAGTCACTCAGCTGGAGTTTCTCTCATTTCAGTTCTCATTGGTATTTGAAGCTTAGGAGGTATATTTGAAATAGTAACATCACTAAGACAATACTTTGAAGAAGGGGAAAACTCTATTACAGACAGGGTTATGTAGTATTTTAACATGAAATTAACGATTGAACTCAGGGGTGGAGTTAAGGACAGTTAGAATCATGTATGGTATATAGAGCATCTGAACTCAAGGAAATAGTAGATTTGGTTTTCACACAGAAATATTTTAGGAATTTATTGAATATTATAAAGAATTTAAATTTTTAATAGAAGAGAAAATAAGTATAGAACTTAAGGAATCACACAGTATGTTTTTTATGGTATTTTCAGTTTTTCATTTCCTTTTTTTTTTTTTAAAGATTTTATTTATTTACTTGACAGAGTGAGAGACAGCAAGAGAGAGAACACAAGCAGGGGGAAGGGCAGGCAGAGGGAGAAGCAGGCTCCCTGCGTCACAGGGAGCCTGATGCGGAGCTCAATCCCAGGACCCTGGGATCATGACCTGAGCTGAAGGCAGACGCTTAACGACTGAGCCACCCAGGCGCCCCTAAAGTTTTTTGTTTCTTAAGGTGCTGTGACATATTTGTTCCTAAAATAACCCTGTGAAGTAGAGAAGGTATTATCCCCCTATTTTTTTTGTAGATGTAAAATGGAGATGCAAAGATATTAAATGACTTGCCTATAGTTACATACAAATTACTGGTAGTTCTGAGTCTAGAACCCACATCTCTTAATTCCTTGTCTGGTAGTATTTCTTTTTCTTTTTCTTAAAGATTTTATTTATTTGAGAGAGAGAGGGAGAGAGAAAGAGAGAGCAGGGGGTAGGGAGGAGCAGAGAGAGAGGAATAAACAGACTCCCCACTGAGCGCAGAGCCCGATGTAGGGCTCAATCCCAGGATCCTGAGATCACAACCTGAGCTGAAATAAAGAGTTGGACGCTCAACCAGATGAGCCACCCAGGTGCCCCTTGTCTGGTGGTATTTCGGTGGTGCAGGCTGTTTTCAGTGGAAAGAGCTGTAGAATCAAGCAGACCCAAGTATAAATTGTGGCTCTTCCACAAGCCAACTAGCTATGTGATCTTAGACTTTTTTTTTTTAAGATTTTATTTTTATTTATTTGAGAGAGAGAGGGGGGAGAGAGAGAAAGAGAGCAAGGGGCAGAGGGGCAGGGAGAGAGAGAATCCCAAGTAGACTCCCCGCCAAGTATGGAGCTGAACATGGGGCCCAGTCCCATGACTCCGAGATCATGACCCCAGCTGAAATCAAGAGTTGGGCTTGCAGCCAACTAAGCCACCCACATACCCCTTAGACAGGTTTTAAAAAATTATTTTATTTTATTTTTAATTTTTTTTTAGCATTGCTGAATCCATCCCCTCATCTGTTTATTGAAGATAGTAGTATTAGCCAATGAGAATTGACTACGAGGCACATGTTCCATTTGTGATAAATATTTCTTTTACCATCCTTGTGAGTGGATATCAGAAGTTATTGGGGTAATCTAGCACAGATTAAATAAATATCTTTTGAACTGAATTAAGCAAAATCAAACAGTCATATTAGAAACAAAGGATAGAATAAATTTTCCAATAACGTAGGCCATTTAAGAAACCTCAAATACATGAATATCATGTAGGGCAATGATTATGAGTATGTGGCAGGGTAGTTTTTGTTTTTTAAAGATTTTATTTATTTGAGAGAGAGAGAATGAGAAGAGCACATGAGAGCGGGGAGGGTCAGAGGGAGAAGCAGACTCCCTGCCAAGCAAGGAGCCCGATGCGGGACTCGATCCAGGGACTCCAGGATCATGACCTGAGCTGAAGGCAGTCGCTTAACCAACTGAGCCACCCAGGCGCCCACGTGGCAGGGTAGTTTGACTGGAGTTCTTTGATTAGAGGGAAGGTAGAACATGTGTTCATCCAGCAAATATTTATTGAATGTTTGCTACTTAAAAAACACTCGAGATAGGTGATGAAACAGTCCCTAATTTATGGAAATGGGAGACAGATAAATGGTTAATATGATTCCAGTGCTTCTGTAAAGTTGTGACCAGGTACTATGGGGGAGAATAGAGTGTAGTATCTGATTTAGCTTGAGGGATTTAGGAAATGTTTCCTAGTAGAAATGTCATTTGAGCCAAGTCTTAAAGATATGCTAATTCATTGGGAGAAGAGATATGTAGTATTTGAGGCAGAGGGAACAGCATAAAGGCACAGAAGGTTGGTGGATTAGGGATACTACTTGTGGTGCATGAGTTTATGTGACAGGAGATGAAGCTGGAGAGGTAAGCGTCTTCTCAAGGGTTAGAAGATTATCAGGAGATTAGAACTATAGGGAGCCATGAAAAGATTGTGAATGGAGGAAGTATAAGATTTAATTAATGTTTTGGGAAGATCACCTCCTGGCAACATGTAGAGGTTTAAATAGAGAGACGTGTTACTAAAGGTTCTTTTGAATGCAAGGAAAAACCATTCTTGAGGCAGCTTCATTTAGAGGAGGCCTAATTTCTTATGAGTGCAGAGGGGTATCTCAGGGATCTTATGGCAGCTGGACCTTAGGAACTGAGTGGAAAGCTGAACAGGAGCGCCCATCTTTGGCCTTTGCTTTGCCTTACCTCATTTTTTCTTTCCCCACTGTATGTTGGCTTTCTGTGCTTCTTTGCCTATGTGATGAAATGTTACCTTCCTACGGTTGCCTAACATTACAATTTCAAGCATACTCTGAGGTTCTGAGGATGTCTCTGAATCCAATGTCAAGTTTTTATTTTTAATAAAATTTTTGAAGATTTATTTATTTGAGAGAGAGTGAGCGAGCGCATGAGCTGGTGGAGAGGAAGAGGGAGAGAGAATCCTCAAGCAGACTCCCTACTGAGATCGTGATCTGAGCTGAAATCAAGAGTTGGATGCTTAACAAACTGAGCTACTCAGACACCCCCCAACGTGAAGTTTTTAAGAGAAAAACTTATTTCTTACTGTTCAGGTTGGGTTAGCTATCTCCTGCTCTGATTCCAGTTAGATGTGGCTATTATAAACTTGACTGTCACGCTCCATTCTGTGTGTGTGTGTGTGTGTGTGTGTGAGTTTGGGAGATGGAGTAGGGAGGGATGTTCTGAGAAGATGGGGAGAGTTGTGAGCTAGGCAGATACCACAAAGGTGTCTCACAGAGAGTAAGAATAGAAGCAGGGGCTACCACTGAAATCTAGGCACTAAATGTTGAGGGCCTGAGCTGAGGTTAGTTAGGGACAGTGTGGAAACAGAGAAGGAGGTAGATTTAAGAAAATCTAATAAACATGATTTAGTGGCTCATGAGATGTTGGAGCCTTGTGAGAATGAAGGAATCTACATTTCAGATTTGAATTACTAGGAATTTGGTGAAGAAACATTGAGGAGGATTGAGTTTTAGGACAAAGTAGCTGAGTTTAGTTTGCACCCACAGTATTTGTGGTTTGCATGGGATATTAGTGATGATGTTCAGTAGGCACTTGAATGTAAGGTTTGGAATTCAAGGGTGAGACTTCTGCTGAGATTTGGGAGTCATCTTGATAGAGTTGGCAGTCAAAGCTGTGAATCTGGATAAAGTCACCTAGAAGGAGAAGAGTAGAAAGCGGAGAATGGCATCTGACGACCACCAGTTTATATGGAAGCAGTGGAAGAAGAGTTTAGCAAGTGGCTAATCTGTGACATTAGAAAAGGAGGGATTATGGAATGTAACATTGAAGAAGAGTGTGAATTTAGGAAATGTTAAAGCCTTGAAAGACAAGATAGAGTCCATGACTTTGTAGTTCATAGCACTATGTGTTGGGTACTATGTTAAAGATAATTCTCACAGTTAAAGATAATCCTGCTGCTTATTATCTCTGCATTACAGGTCAGGCGTTTAGGTGCAGAGAGTTTAAGTAACTTGCTCACAGCTTACAGCTAGAGGTGGCAGAGTCAGGGTTTGAACTCATGCAAATCTAGAGAGTCTCTTCTTAACCACTGTCCTTAATGCCTTTAGAGGAAATTGAGGGAGATTCTGATTTAGCTAGTTAGTATAGAATATGTTACTCAAATGATTACAGTAATGTGGGAGCAAACTTATTTTTATTTTTAATTGTAAAGCGTAACATAAAATTTACTATCAACCATTTTAAAGTATATAATCCAGTGGTGTTAAGTATATTCACATTGTTCTGCAGCCAATCTCCAGAACTTTCCATTTTTTAAAACTGTAACTCCTCATTTTCCTTCCCTTCCAGCCCCTGACAACTACCATTATATTTTCTGTCTCTATGATTTTGACTATTCTGTGTACTTCATATAAGTGGAATCATACAGTATTTGTCTTTTTGTGACTGACTTATTTCACTTCACATAATGTCCTCAAGTTTCTTACATGTTGTTGCATATATCAGAAATTCCTTCCTTTTTGTGGAAGGCAAACTTTTATTTATTAGAACAAATTTCTATAGCCATTTATTCACATGTTGAGGAGGATGTTATTATATTTGTTTTGAAAAAAACTCAGGGATGGTGATATATTGCAACTCTTTATAACTGTATTATAATTTTATACCAATATTACATTAGCGTAATTGAATGTTCTATAAAGTTTTTTTATTTTATGGAGAAAATATTTGTAAAAGCATTTAAAAACAAATAATGCCTTTTTAATTTTTCTTATTTGTTTAAGAAGGACAATTGTGGTATAGTTTTGCCCTATAGTGATAGAATGATCCATGGGATTTGTAGATTTAAATTACAATTTTTATAATATTCACAAGACTGCCAAAGTTCCTTGATACATACAGTACTAAGCTTTCTTGTGGAGGGTGTGTGTTCAGTGCCAATGTGGGGAGCATCTTACCCACCTTGTGAAGGAACAATAGGCAAGCCCTTCACCAGTACCTCACTTTAGGACTGTGATCAGAGCTTCTTACTAGTCTGAATATAGCAGTGGAGCCCAGACTGGCTCTTCAGTTCACTATTTGTTAACTTTAGGAAGTTATTTAGGTTGCCAAGGTTGAATTTCCCTACTTATAGGATGAGAACATTAATAGTTTCTACTCCATAGCGTTCTTCTGAGGATTAAATGAGGTAATGTGGATAAGGTCAGCTGTGATTATTGTTCTCATCACTATCATCATGTTTGGTATGCATGCATTTGAAGATTCCCAAGTAGGCTACTGTAAAGGGAAATCTATTCCATCACTTATTCTGTGCTAGATGCTTCAGAGGACTCAGGGTTGAGTAGTATATAATTTCCGCCTTCAGAAATTTGCATTTAGGCATTTAAAATGGAATTAATTTTATCTATATAGTGGTTTTTTAAAGCTCTATCTTCTTAAAGTTTAAGTTTTGATTAAAAAGGTATAGGAATAAATCAAGGTAAAAGTGTGGTTTTAGCATTTTGAAATCTTCTTTGAACTTCTGCAAAACATTCTTTGACTTGTGGATTTTGTTTTATTCCAGCCAGCACCTAACCAAGTCACTTTTCATCTGCCCCTTCATCGTTACTATGCTATGTTTTTGAGTAAGGTAAGACTATCGTCCAACAATTCTGGTTGTTTTTTTTTTTTTTTAATATTGGGAATTAAGTATTAGTAACTTTTTTTTTTTCATAATTTTTAGGCTGTGAAATGTCAAGAACTAGATTTGGATTCTGTTTTACCTGATCAGGAAATGTTAATGAAACTAATGATTCACCCACTCCAAATTCAAGTATGTATTCAGGTTTTTAAAAAGTTTTTAATTGAATTTCTTGGTTACGTTGTCCTTTATTTTATTTTTATGTCTTAAATTTACATTGTTGTTATAGCCAAAATGTTTGGAAAGTTTTTTTAAACTTAAGTATTTTTGCTAGATTATATTTTGGTCTTTTTTTGTTCTATGAGACTTACATTGAGTTATAATTTCCCCAGGAATTCTTTTCACTGTATTTACTTATAGGGAAGTTTTTTAACATTTTTTTAACAGTTTAGCACTGTTTTGAGAGTCAGGAGACCCAATAGATTTCTAGCATTAGTACTGCATCAGTTTAATTACCCATGTTGTTTGGGGTAACATACCTACTTGATTCTTAGTTTCCCCATTTGGAAAATGAGAGGAGAGAAAAGGAGGATTTTCGTGCATAAGCACTATGGTTACTTTCAGTTCTAATACTATAATTTTGTGGGCCAACCTTTTATGTATAGTAGAGGGACTTGCACTTCAATTTGTTTTTCCTGGCAATCTTAGATTTGTTAATCATCACTGAACTTTAACACTGGGGGTTAGGAACAAGTAAGAGACGAAGTTATGACTGTGCTTAGTTTTAGTTGATACAGGACACAAATACATGAAGAATTAAACATTAATGTTATAAAACATTCTAATCTTACCTTCTCTTACCTGCTGATTATTTGAAAAATGACTAGTTTGGAACAATCAGCTTTGTTTTATGCTTATTCCAGTGTTTCTTTAAGCATTATGTAACTTTTTTTCTTGCTAAGGAAAGAGTTAAATATAAGTAGCATTGATTCCTCATGAAGGACTTCATTGAAAAATTTTTTTTTTTAATGTTTTATTTATTTATTCATGAGAGTCAGAGAGAGAGAGAGAGAGGCAGAGGCAGAGGGAGAAGCAGGCTCTCTGCATCATTGAAAATTTTTAATAAATGTTTCCAGGAATCATCATGGAAAACTAATTCATGTATAAACTTCAAAAGAAGGGATTGTATAAAAGCATAATGAGCATTTAAAAATTTCAAAAGATGTATTTGAATTGAATATTTTAAACGAACATGGGGCAGAATGTCAGGCTCATGCTATGATCAAGTTATAAAATATTTTGAAATGATTGTTCAGTATAACATGTTTTTCATAAAGATTTAATTTAGAAGACCTCTTTGTCTAATTTACTTAATTTTTGTTTTACTAGGCAAGTCTTGCTGAAATCCACAGCAATATGTGGGTAAGAAATGGTCTACAAATCAAAGGACAAGCTATGACCTATGTCCAGTCTCATTTCTGTAATTCCATGATTGACCCTGACATTTACTTACTACAGGTAAGCCAACTTGTGATAATGCAGATATTGTACTTTAGAAGTGTCTCATTTGTACTCATGGGATTTAGTTCATAGAGGTGACTCAATGATGACACAAAGAGGTCATTGCTATTGAAAGAATTTATTACTTAAATTTCCCAAGAGAAGGAGGCATGTGGTGCCACACAGGGGAAGCATCAGATTTTGGTCAAGAGTTAGGAGCAGGAGCAAGGGGGAAATCCTAGAGCAGAACCTTTTTTGGCATTTGCATAGGAAGGGCAAGACAGGGCAGGGGAAACAGTTTAGGATTGGTTAGTTTGAATAATTCTGGTGGACTTTGGGGCATCAGGGCTGTCCCCATCCATCTGGTACCTGGCCCTGGGTTGGTTTAGGGCAGGGGGAATATTGACTTGGTGTGTGAGAGTTAGATAAAGGGGGTGATTGACTTGCCTGTAAGAGGTTTACTTCTAGGTAGTTGTTTACTGTCTTTAGGAGTATCTTGAGGAATATTTACGTTTTTAGGTAGGCCAGAGAGGGGTGGTCTCTCCTCATGTCTATAAGCACCCCCCATGTCAAAACATCATAAGATACAGAACACAAACAAACCACATGATTAATACAAGAAATAAAGCAATATTGAGAAATAAAGTCTTTTTTTTTTTTGTCTTTTAAAGGTTTGTGCTTCTAGACTTGACCCGGATTATTTTATTTCATCTGTCTTTGAAAGGTAAGCATAATTTATTAAGGCAGATATTAGGAAGTATTTGGAATTTAAGTTGATTTTGTTTTAACTTAAAAAAATCTGTCTCAAATATTTCTTATTATAGATTTAAGGTAGTGGATTTGTTGACAATGGCGTCACAACATCAAAACACAGTACTTGATGCAGAGCATGAGAGATCGATGTTAGAAGGCGCTCTTACATTTCTTGTGATTCTTTTAAGTCTTCGTTTACATTTAGGTAAAAAGCACTCATACTAATGCTTGGGTATTAACTATTCTCCCTTTCCTCCCCTCTCCCTATGGTAGTAACTGTCTTATGGAAAAAAGAAAAGGATTTGGATATATTTAAACATTGTTTCAAACTCTTGACATGATGTATAGTTGTTACTCCTTTTAGAATATCCTTTAAAAAACCCTTTACTTAAGGGAGCTGCAAACAGTAGGTTAGTTAAACTGGTTATATTTGGGGCATTGCAGTCTTTGCTCTTTAATTTTTGAAGCATCTCATTTTTGGTAAAACAGCTTAATAAAAAGTGTGGTAAGTTGTTTCTTTATAATTTATGTATATTCAGATTTACTAATTTTCTTTTTAATTGTTTTAGGGATGTCTGATGATGAGATTCTCAGAGCAGAGATGGTAGCCCAGTTGTGTATGAATGACAGGACACATAGTTCATTGCTGGACCTCATATCCTTTTAAAAGTTTAATTTTTTTGTTAAATATAGGACTAAACAATAATTTGTACAGATTAAGGATGTATCACTTTTGTGATTAAAAAACATTTTTAGAGTTGAAAATAGTTTGGAAAAAGAACTTCAATTGTTCGTTCAACTGTGTGTTCAGGGCTAGTGGCAGATGTTTTTGCCTCATTGTTACCTCTCCGGGAGCTCTTAATGGCCTTGGTTAGACTTCAGAACTGATGGCTCTGGGCACTCAAGGATCTGCCCTTCTAGGACAGCATTCGTGAAAGGAACCTGGACCGTAAAAGGCAGCTAGGTCTACTTTATCTGTATACCTAGGTTGGAATTAATGGTTAAAATTTAAACTTATACCTTATAATTATTACCAGGGTTTTAAACATTTTAAGGACTTTTTTTCTTAGAGTTAAGTCTTTTTTTTTTTTAAGATTTTATTTATTTGAGAGAGAGAGGGAGAGAGAGAGCATGAGTGGGGGCAGGGGCAGAGGGAGAGGGAGAAGTAGGCTTCCCAATGAGCAGGGAGTCCTATGTGGGGCTCAATTCCAGGACCCTGGGTTTGACCTGAGCCGAAGGCAGACGCTTAACCACCTGAGCCACCCAGGCATCCCTTAGAATTTAGTCTTAAACCAAGAGGTTGTTTTTTTTTTAAATTTTTTATTTAAAGATTTTATTTATTTGATCGAAAGAGAGAGCACAAGCAGGGGAAGCGGCAGGCTCCCCCGCAGAGCAGGGAGGCCGATGTGGGGCTCCATCCCAGGACCCTGGGATCATGGCCTGAGATGAAGGCAGTTGCTTAACCAACTGAGCCACCCAGGTACCCCAAACCAAGAGGTTTTTAAGGGCAAAGACTATATCGTCTATAAACTTTAAAAACTTATGGTTCTTTGTGTAGGACAGAGCATACAATATACACTTTATTATTTTTTAAGTTATTGTTAATAAAATTTTAGACAAAGATTGTGTTATTTTGTGATAAGAATTTATTTTGTAAATTTTGGACTAAATTTGCTTTGTATATTATGAATATGTTTGGAATAATTGGCTAAAATTTTGTGAAATAACTCCTGTGGAATGCCTATTTGATAACCTTGAAGATTTTCATAAGCAACATCAATTTGATATTATTTGATGATTTCATTCACCTATTATATAATGTGTATCAGAGCTGTACAAGCTGTAACTGAGCAAAAGCATTCTTCTGTAACTTTGAATTAAAAAAATTGATTAATTGATGTGAAATCAATGGAAAAGGATCTTTGTGGTTTTCTGGTTACCTTCTTTGTAAAAATTTGTTTAGCATCTTTTTCTTTTTTCTTTGAGTATGATGAAATTTTGTTACTGGAAAAATAATCTTTGCTCATAAAAATCTTGGCTAGTTTTTAGCATACTGTTTTTGATTCTCTAAAGGAAGGTATAACATTATTTGTAAAATGAAAATGGAGATAATTTTAAAACTTTTTTCATTTCCTGAAATTTGGGCAATTTTGGGGGAAATAAACTTGGGAACTACTTTAGCATTTAATTCATTAATAGGCTTCTAGATTTAAAAATATTTAAAAAATTCACAATTAATAGTCATTGAATTCTTGTATTATATAGCCCTCTTGTGGCCAATTTTATATATTACAGCCAATTATTCTGTGTTAGCAAAAGTAGTTAGAAACTAGAGTACCTTGGTAATTTTATAATTAAAAGCTGGCTTTTAGGCATTATTTTTTTTCTTGACACATACATCATATTCCAGAAAATCCAAATCCCAAAAGTGGCATTATTCCAGGCAGTTATAGCTTTGAATCAGTTTTATCAGCTGTAGCTGATTTTAAGGCTCCTGTTTTTGAACCTGGAGGTTCTATGCAGCAAGGCATGTATACTCCTAAAGGTATGTTTATATACATTAACATATTGTTTCAAAATTGGTTTTCTGAATGTGAGTTGCTGTGTACAGTAGAAGAAAATGTTTTTATGTATTCAGGTTTGAGTTTTTAATGGTATACAGTGATATTGCTTCCATTTATTTACAAATCCATGGTTTTATGTTACAGTAAACCATCTTAGATGACTCTAAATTAGAAAAGGAACTTTATATATAAATTCTAGTTCATTTTTATAAGTGAATCAACTGTAAATGAACCAGAAATTATAAAAGTATATATTTAAAATTTTTAAAAATATACTTACTCTCTAAATTTGATTTTGAAATAGTTCTCACTATCCCAAATTTAACTTGAAACAATTAAAATTAAAATCTGTATAGAATATCCATTACCTTTCCTTACATTTTTTTCCTTAAGTGGTTGGTTTTGCAAGGTTTTCTCCCTGGCTTCGTAGAGACATGCTTGACAAGAGCCAGAAGTAGGTGAAGTCTTCATTCACCGTCTTGTCTTTTTCACTTTCACATATTCACTAATCTAAGCTAAAATTTTGAAGGAAGCACTTACATGCTTCTTGACTTCCTCAAGACGCTTTGTCTAACTGAAAAACTGATGCCCACATTGAAGTTAAAAATAGCACGTCCTGTGTTTGGCAAAACACAGCAGAATAAGCCTGATCATGGGGGATTTTTCCAGGAGTTCACAAAGGTGATCCAAAGTCTCTGGTTGCAATGTGTATTCCATTAAAGGAAAAGCACAGTGTTTCTTTATTGTTGAGACTACTTTGTATCTAAAGTTTAAAGTTTAGATGAATTTTTGAAGTGGAGGAGCATTCTGGTGTAGTACAGTGCTTAAGTAGGGTGTAATGTGAGGATTACCTCTGTCATACTCACTTGTGGTCCTTATTAATAGCATGGGTTTCTATGCCTCAGCCCCAATCTGCTCTCATCAGGATCTGTGGGGGTAGATTCTGAATATCTGCTTTTTTAAACACGCTCTATGATTGTCATGCACAGTAAAGTTTGAGACACTGAGATGGAGCATTGAGCTTTTGAAGATTAGAGTCAAGAAACTAGTTTTCCATATTCAAATACAGTATTAAATTGTGTTAGCTAGTTTCTGTGATATTGAGAAAAGCAGTTTCTTAGCTTTGGATTTGGCTTCTTATTTATAAAAAGAGAGAGTTGGAATAGATGAGAGTTTTTAAGTGTTTTGGGGAACTAAACCTTAAGTAAATCTGTTATACAAAACCCATGAAAGCAGACCTGCTCTTGTAAACGTGGGTGTCACTAGTGGACATTGTTTCTCATCTGCTTTGTCATCTCCTTGCCCCTGAAGTGGCCCCAGTTAAACTTATGTGGGAATCCACAGAACACTAAAGTCTGCTAGACTAGTTAATCACTAAAGTTTTCTTCTATTGCTATGGTTTTATAATTCTGATAAAAGCATTGGCATTTTAATTGTACAGATTACTAGATTTAAAAGTGAAGGACAAGAAATGGTAATAGAAATAATAACAAAGATCTTTGTCTTTGTGAAGGCCTATCTTAAGGATCTTAAGTCATACTTATGAGAGATAATTTAAGATGAATGAATGGTCTGTTACATGAAAATAGGGACAATTGTTAACAGTTTCTTATGCCAGGAAATTGAAATTACAGATATGTAGAGAGAAACTTAAGCTTCTTACTGTTTTCAGATGTTAAGAATTTTGCTAGAATGAGATGGGAAAAAAATTAATCTAGGCAAGATACACTCTTCAGGCAGTGGTTTCTAAAATTACCATTCTCAGGCCATATTGTAGATTTTTCCACATCTAAATACCATCTCTATTATTATATATCTAGTCTGCTGTATATCCTTAAATGTATTCACTTTTTTAAACTTCACCTCATGCTAAGCATGATTATTAGTGAGATCCTGGGTTTTATATGCAATGTACAATTTCCTAATATATGTTATATAATTATTAAAATAAAAATCTTTGTAAACTTAAAATCATCTGTATACCACCAATTGTACACCTATCACACATGGGGTAATGGTTCCTGATTGTGAAGACAGTAAGGTGATCAATGATCAATTTTAGCAAAAGAACAGAAGACCTTTTACAAACCAAAAATATTACACAGTAAGACTCTTGAAAATCAATAGCTCATTAATTTTTTAATTTAGTTTTCATATTTTTATCTTTGAATGTTTTCAAAGTTATTAATGCATTGTGTTTCCTATATTCTGTTGGCACTTTACAAAAAAAAAGATGAACTAAGCTTTTATGGTGAAGCGTTATCACATTATAATACTTTCTTTTTTTCATTATAATAGTTTTTGCTCACTAGTTCTTGCTGAACTTAAAAGAACATTCATAATGATGAAATCATGATTTTTGACTTAGAAAAGTAGTCACAATATCAAGCTTATTAAAGCAAATATATAATCAAATCAAACTTTCCCATCTTATGAATGTAAAATATACTTAAATGTACTAAGTCATCAAGGATTGACTTTATTCCTGAGAAGTCAGTGTTTTGTTTCTACTTTCTTTTGAATAATAGCTGAAGTCTGGGATCAGGAATTTGACCCTGTCATGGTCATTCTTCGAACAGTGTACCGAAGAGACGTGCAGTCTGCAATGGACAGATACACAGCATTGTAAGTCTGTTATATTAGTATAATAATGGATGTTTTGTATTTATGTAGAAAAATTTCAGTTATAACACAAATGTGATATGCTGTCATTAAAGTATACTCTTAATCTTTAAAGGAGAAAATAATATTTTAAAATTTTAAAGAATCTGCCAGATATTTTTGTTCTCAAGATTCTTGATCCAGAATCTGATAAATTTTATAAAATATCAGAAATAGACATAAATAAAAAAATAACACACTTATTTAGTTGGTATTTGACTAGTGGGATGCAAAACTTGGTTTTGTGTTATTCTACTTTTAAACCAGTAGAGGAGGCACAAGTTAAGAGAATAAAATTGTCTGCTATCAGAGGTGTTGGGTATCTACAAAAAGTTTGGTAATGTTGCTGTGTTTTTCACAACTGGGAAAATAGCTAAAGCAAATTGAATTTTACTTGTAAATATTTAACAAAGTGTTTTAAAATGATAATTGCAGAAAAAAGTTTTGAATATCTTTTCAATGAAGAATTCATTTTTGTTTGCTGTTTTTATAAACTATTTTTTAAATGTTGTCTTGCTGAACATCATATAATATCTTTTATCTGCTTTTCTAAAGCGTATGTTAAATATTTTAAGACAAGTTTTAAATGATACAAATATCTTTGATCTTGAGAAAATATTTGTCTATCAAAGTGTAAATATAGATATTAGGTATAATTGAAACTTCTCTTTTGCCAAGACATTGCAGTAGTAGATATATCGGAAGTGGTTTGTAGTGTAGAGTTTTAGCATACCCCTCCTTCTCCCCCAAAAAACAAAACCAAAAAACGCCGCCTAGTTCAGCCATCAGCATCTCTCTCTACCATTCTCTAAAACCCTTGGAGAGATAGTCTGAGGTTCTTCATACTCTACTTTCTTTTTTTAAAAGATTTTATTTATTTGAGAGAGAGAGAGAGCGCGTGTGCACAAGCAGGGAAGGGGCAGAGGGAGAGGGAAAAGCAGACTCCCCACTGAGTAGGGAGCCCAATGTGGGGCTGATCCCAGGATTCTGGGATCAAGACCTGAGTGGAAGGCAGTCACTTAACTGACTGAGCCACCCAGGTGCCCCTGGGAGAGCACTTCTAACTCCGAATCTCCAGTTACTGAGGTACCAGGTGCTGCCAGTTTCTGAGCCTTTTGAGGGTTCTCAGTGTTACTTGGATTGATGCTCAGCTTTTCCCATTGCCTTCTTGTGATTTGGTTTTCTTAGCGCTAGATGAGTTACCAGGTGTCCATATGCTTTCCAGTTAACAAAATCTTTCATTTTTTTCTTTTGTAATTTTCCCCATTTTTGTGGCTTTCATCCTTTAAAAAATACCATTACTATAGTTCTTTTGGAGTTTTGGGTGAAAGTAAAATTAAATACTTATGTTCATTCTTTGGTTTTAATTTCAAGTGCTGAATTTGTAACTCACTTTAATTTGCATTGCCTGGATTACTAGGTGAGCTTTTTAAAAATCTATTGATTTCTTTTCATGTTTCTTGCTGTAAGAACTGTGTATGGATTATTCTCTGCCTGTTTTTCTATTAGGTTGTCTACAGTTTATTAGTTCTCAAGTTTTCCTTTTTACCTTTAGATCTCTAATCCACCTGGAATTGATTTTTGTTTGTGGTAGTGAAGTAGTGATTATTTTTACTCCTATAGAAAACCACTTGCTTTAGGATCATTTATTGAACAATTCATTCCTTTCTCACTGATTTACAGTATGCTAATTCTGTCATACACAATTAATCCTCATTGTTTGCAAATTCTTTATTTACAAATTTGGCTCCTTGCTAAAGTTTTGAATCCAAAATTAATACTTGTAGCTTTTTCCTGGGTATTTGCAGGTGTGTGTGGACATGCAGAGTGCATCTAGTTGAGGTTGAACAGAGCAAAGTTCTGCCCTCTTGTTTCAGCTCTCATACTTTAAACAAGTATCCTTTTTGTGGTATATTTAGTGCTGTTTTTGCATTTTTGTCCTTTTTGTTTGTGATTTTGCTATTTAAAGTGGCCCCCAAATGTAGTACTGAAGTGCTCTCTGGTGTTCCTAAGGGCAAGAAGGCTTTGATGTGCCTTACAGAGAAAATTCATTGTTAGATAAGCTTTGTTAATTCATGGGTTATAATGCTGTTGGCTGTGAGTTCAATGGTAATGAATCAATAATGTGGTACATCCAGAAAGAGGTAGAGGAAATTCACTGATCTGTACGTGAGGTCATTCCAAAAAGTGTTAAAATAGCAATTGTAGTGTGTGATGAAGCTATGGAAAGGTTAAAAGCTAAATTTGTGGACTTATGAATGATGACTGATAAAAAAGTGTAGTGGATAGCTTTGTTGTGAGGCTGAAAGCCAAAGAAATTCCTGTCACGTTTAGCAAGGGTCAGGAAAACGTTAAACCTTTTTTTGCTAGTGCTTGGCTGGCTTCATGTTTCAAAAGGTAATATAATATGAGAAATGTTAAATATAGAGGCAAGGCAGTTCTGTAGATCATGAGGTGGAAGAATTGTAAAAATACTTGCTAAGAGTTAGTCAGAAAAGGGTCACGTGAAAGAGCAGATTTTCATTGTTGATAGGACCATCTTGATTTACAAGGACATTGGCAAATATAATGCAAATGGAATTTTGATTAACAAAATTGACCCCAGACTTGCAGGAACCTAATCCTGTATTTCTCCTAGGAGCAATAATTAAATGTTTGTGGTGACTTTACAGAACATAACTACTGTGAATAAAGGCAGTTGACTGTATCCGGTATCTGTATGTCTATAGATCTGTATCTCTTTTGTTCATTCTATAAATTAATCCCATACTATCACAAATATTGTTAAGTTTCTCTCCTTTCTCCTCCTCTTCTTCCTTCTCTTCCTTCTCCTCCATCTCTCTTCTGTTTATAATAGTTATTTATTCTTGGCTCTTTGCCTAGAATTTTATGATGACCATATCAAACTTAACGATGAAACATATTGGATTTTGATTGAAATTGTGCTGATTGAAATTAATCGACAGCATTTAGATTAATTCATGGATTAATTTGGTAGAAATGCCATCTTTTTAAGTTTTTATTTTAATTCCAATTAACATACAATGTTATATTGGTTTCAGGTGTACAATATAGTGATTCAGCAATTCCATACATCACCAGATCCTCATCACAACAAGAGCACTCCTTAGTCCCTATCACCTGTTTAACACAATCCTCCCCCACCCATCCACCTTCCCAAACTGTTCTCTATAATCAAGAGCCTGTTTCTTGATTTGTCTCTCTCTCTCTCTGTGTCTTACTTTTTTCCCCTTGCTTGTTTTGTTTCTTAAATTCCAGATATGAGTGAAATCAATTGGTATTTGTCTTTGTCTGACTGACCTATTTTGCTTAGCACATAATACTCTTTAGCTCCACCCATGTTGTTGCAGATGGCAAGAGAGATCACGAGCAGGGAGGAGAGAGAGGGGTAGAGGGAGAAGCCGACTCCCCACTGAGCAGGAAGCCAGGTTCGGGACTTGATCCCAGGACCCTGAGATCATGACCTGAGCTGAACGCAGATGCTTAACCTTAACTGACTGAGCCATGGAGGCGCTCCTCTATGTTTAATTGTTGTTTTTTTTTTTTAAGATTTTTATTTATTTATTTGACAGAGAGAGACAGTGAAAGAGGGAATACAAGCAGGGGAGGTGAGAGAGGGAGAAGCAGGCTTCCTGCTGAGCAGGGAGCTTGATGCGGGGCTCGATCCCAGGACCCTGGGATCATGACCTGAGCCAAAGGCAGACATTTAATGACTGAGCCACCCAGGCGCCCCTCTATGTTTAATTGTTAAAGGAACTACCAGATTGCTTACCAAGGCAGCCTCAGTTTTATATATTCCCATCAGCAGTGAATGAGGGTTCCAGTTTCTCCTTTTCCTTACTAACACTTATAATCTGTCTTTTTGATTATAGCCATCCTTGTGGTGTGAAGTAGTATCTCATTGTAGTTTTGATTTGCATTTTCCTGATGGCTAATGATGTTGATTATATTTTCATGTGTTTATTGGCCATTTGTGTATCATCTCTGGAGAACTGTCCCGATCCTTTGCACATTTTAAATTGGAGTAACTTTTTATTATTGAATTTTAAGAACTCTTTATATATTATGAATACTAACACCAGAAATACGATTTGTAAATATTTTCTACTATTCTGTGCGTTGCGGGTTGTCTTTTCACTTTTTGAGTGTCTTTTGCTGCAAAAAAGTTAATTTTAATGAAGTTCAGTTTATCTAGTTTTTTCTTTTGTTGCTTGTGCTTTTGGTGTCATATCTATTGCTTAATCCACATTAGGAAGACTTATGCCTATGTTTTCTTCGAAGAATTTTATAATTCTAGCTCTTATATTTAAGTCTTTGATGCATTTTGAGTTAATTTTTGCATATGGTATAAGGTTAGTGGTCTAACTTCATTCTTAGGTGGATATTTCTTGAAGTTTTGATAGAACTTGCCTGTTCAACTACCTGGGCCTCATGTATTTTTTTTTTTTTTTTTTTTTTAGGGGGATGTAATTTAAAACTAAGTCACTTTCTTTATTATTATTTTTAAATTTTATTTTTATTTTCTTATTTTTTAAAGATTTTATTTATTTGACAGAGAGAGACACAGCGAGAGAGGGAACACAAACAGGGGGAGTGGGAGAGGGAGAAGTAGTCTTCTCGTGTGGCAGGGAGTCCAATGTGGGGCTTAATTCCAGGACCCCGGGGTCATGACCTGAGCTGAAGGCAGATGCTTAATGACTGAGCCACCCAGGTGCCCCTAAGGCACTTTCTTTAAAGCTTATAGTCTTACTTAGGATTTTTATTACTCTTTGAAAGGGATGGTCAAGTTACATTTTTCTGGGAGACATTTTATTTTGTCTTAAGTATATAATAGTTAAAAAATTGTCTTTGCCTTTTTGTTCCTATTATTTATTTGTGTTTGCTGTTTCTTATTCTTGATAGTCTTATCAGAGGACTGCCAGTTTTACTATTTTTTTTAAATGAACTTTGATTTTGTTGTTTCTTTTTCCCCCTTGTTTTCTATTTTGTACTTTTTCCTTCTTTATTATTATCATCTTTCAATTTAGTTTGGATTTTCTCCCTTAGACAGTTAGTTTCTTTTTACAAAAATACGTGCATTTAATACTGGGAGTTTCCTTCTAGTACTGCTTTAGTTGTATCCCACAATTTTTTCTATAAAGTTTAGGTTCTAAATTTAAAATTTTTCTATTATGATTATAATTATGTGTGCATTTCTAGGAGCATCATGTTATAAAATGTGTACATGTCTGAAGTTTTGGGTTATCATTTAGTGGATTTCTAGTTTTATTTGCTTTGTGACAAGTGGTTGTGGCCCATATAGCCATTCTTTTGCTATTTTTTTGAAAATTACTTTCAATCCTAGTATTTTGTAAATTTTTGTAAATACTCTTTTTTTTTAAAAAAAGATTTTATCTATTTATTTGACAGAGAGACAGTGAGACAGGAAATAAAAGCAGGGGGAGTGTGAGAGGGAGAAGCAGGCTTCCCGCTGAGTAGGGAGCCCGATGTGGGGCTTGATCCCAGGATCCTGGGATCGTGACCTGAGCCAAAGGCAGATGCTTTATGACTGAGCCACCCAGGCGCCCCTTTCGTAAATATTCTAAGTGCACTTAAAATTGTATGTATTCTCTATTTATTGAATGTTCTTTAAATGTCTTTGGTTCAAGCTTATCAGTTATGTTGTTTAAAATCTTCAAAATCCTGGGGCTCCTAGGTGGCTCAGTCAGTTAAGTGTCCGACTCTTGATTTTGGCTCAGGTCATGGTCTCAGGGTTATGGGATCGAGCCCTTTGTTGGGCTCCATGCTCAGTGGGGAGTCTGCTTGAGATTCTCTCCCTCTTTCTCTCATGCACGTTCTCTCTCTCTCAAATAAATAAATAAATCTTTAAAAAAAAGTCTTCAAAATCCTTACCAATTTATTTTTCTTAGGCTTTCTGTTAGAAATGTGTTAATATCCTCTATTGTTTGTGAATTTGTCAGTTTCTCTGTGTAATTCTCTCAGATTTTGCCTTTTGTGTTTTGAGTCTGCTGTTATTTGCATATATGAGTTCATTATTACTATCTTCCTGGGGAGCCTGTTGTTCTTCATCACAGAAGAGACAGATGAGCTTTCTTATTTTTCCTTGTGAGTTATTCTTTCATTGAGGGTGAAGCTTTTCAAAGGTGTCAGCTTTGTGTGGAATCTCAGTTCCATCCCTAAACTTTGTGTGAGCCCGATACCTTGAGATCTGCCTGCTCAAGGACTTTAAAAACACATTGTTAGTGTTTGTTGTTAATTCCTGTTCTTTTTCTGGTAACCGGGGAACTTCCCCTTCTTTTTTGTGAGTCCAAATATGCATTGAAAAAATTACATTTTATATTTTGTCCAGCTTTCCAAGCTGTTGGTAGGTGGGAGAATTTCAGGTTATCTGTTTTTTTTCAATTGTTGTGACTGGAAATTTCTTTGTTTTGTAGTTCACTATATTCTTTCTGTTTCTTTCCTTTTGTTAACATTTCCTATTCATATTTTTTTTTCTAGTTTTCAGCTTAGGTCTCCCTACTCATTTTTATTCAATACAAAATGTTTATTATGAGAGAATAGATATCTGGCATTTTTGAGCAATTTAATTAAAAATAGTACTGCATAGAAAAATATGACAAATTATAAAAAACAATTTAAACCACAGTTTAATCTTAAGTCTATCATCTAATTTAGTTTTGCTTTATTTTTCCAGTTTAAAACAGAGTGGAAAATTCCCTGGAAATCCTTGGCCTCCCTATAAGAAAAGGACGCCACTCCATCCCAGCTATAAAGGTCTCATGAGACTTTTGCACTGTAAAACTTTACACATTGTGCTATTCACTCTGCTTTACAAGGTACAGTAGTAATTTGAATAGAAAGACTCAGATTAGAACTTATTTCCATAATTTTCAAATAAAAGCGTTAGCAGATAATATTTACATAAAAGTACTACTTATAAAGCAAAGTGTATTTATACATTAAAGATGTGTGAGGATATGTCATAAACACATATATGTGAGTTCTGAGTTGAAAATGTAGTGGCTACACCATTCTTTGTGGGAAACTATTCATTGTACCCAGTTTCAGATAATGTAAAAAACATTAATATAGAACATGTTAATAAAACTCAGAAAATCATTCTTAGTCATTTTTTTCTTAGCTTTTAAGTTACTCATTTGAAACTGTAGCATGTACTGTCACAGGATTTCAAGCCAAAATTTATTTGAATTTAGTTAGTAAGGTTATATTTATCAAGAGGAGGCAGTGTAGTAATGATAGGTAATAGGAGTCTGAAATCTGTTGTAGTGTTGCTTATACTAGCTGGGTGTGTGGCTGAGCCTTGATTTCCTCTCTCTAAATAGTGGATTAGAAAGGATCATCTCTGTTGCCTCCCAGCCTTCAGTCACCTCCTCCTGTTCCTCCCACCATCTGCACTACCTGCCTACTGTTTGTTGAACACCAATTGATAGATACTATATTATACAAATTACAGATGTTAACTTGTGTAATCCTCACAATAATTCTGGTCTATTGTTCCAATTTTAAAAATGAGAAAACTAAGGCCAGAATCTGTTGCTCAAGGTCAAATAGTTAGGTATATACAGAATCTGTATAAAAGAGGTTTTTAAAAGGTTATGAAAGTTTACTGTCTTCACGACTGTGCCACACAAAAGATGTACAGAAAAGCCTTCTTAGTAGTCAAAATAAACATCAGAAAGGCAGCTAACTCAAAGTCTTTATTCTTTAGTCAGAATAAATTAGCTCTTAGGTGACTAAGTCCTTTTTCAAGCCTGCCCAGCCATTTGGGCAGTTTCTTTTGTACTCTCAACAGTCTCACCTGCAGCTGGCAAGGTACTCCCACAGAACCTCTTCTTTTTCCCCTTCCATCATTTGGCCAGAGGGCTTTCTTATAATGAGGACAACATGATGGCTGCCAGGCCATTTTTTTCTTATGGTATTTTTAGGTATGTTCCGGTTAGTAGTTTGTTGTATCATATTGAATGAATGATTGTTGTAGGTTAGCCCTGAAATCCTGCATAAGATGTGTAAAGCTTGCAATGTGTAATGCACATAAGGTCAGATTTATTGATGTTTCCTCAGAGAAGCCTCTCTTTTAACTAGTTGCATCCCTTTTTCCTTTCTCACCCGTATAAACCACATACTAACACATACATTTACTCAACTGCACAAAATACTCAGGCTGAGAACTTTAATTTTAGAGACATTTTAAGAACATTAATATTCTATAGATATTTACTGTGCTTCCAATTATATGCCAGGTGCTATGTTTAACACATTTACATGAGTTATCCTATTGAGTACACTTATTTATCTAGTATTTTTGTCATCAGGAGAAAGAGTATCAGCAAATGAGGATGTGAAGCATTCTTATTAAATTATTTTATTAGATACTAGTATATAATAATGGATTTAGTGGACTACTTAATGTATTACCTTTAGGAATCCATGAACCAGTATTTCTAGATATTCCTTAAAATACGGTGTGATCTTGAGAAGGAACCTGTTCTTCTGATTTTAGTTTGTCTTTTCACCAAGATGTAGCTTTACTTATTTTCTGATCATGCTGTATATTTATTTATATATATGATTGTTATTTTCATCTATAACAACATGTTTTTGGATACTTAAATATGTTGTGTGGAAAAAGTAATTATGAGGCATTTTTTTCCCTCTTTAAAGATTTTGATGGATCATCAAAATCTGTCAGAACACGTACTCTGCATGGTTTTGTATCTGATTGAATTAGGACTTGAAAATTCAGCTGAAGAGGAATCAGATGAAGAGGTAAGTAAGTTTCTTATGTTTTTAAATATTAAAGTTATAAAATGCCTTAACAAAGGTAGTGTGTCATCTGGAAATGTATTTATGGATTCATCATATGCATAAGATATTCTTAACTACTGGAAAAGGCCCTTTTTGATCTTCAAATACATATGTTCTTTTAGAGGTTTTACTCTACTTATGATATTGAATTTGAAATTTGTAATTCATAATATATAGATCTAAGAAAAGTGGTTAGTGCACTTCTGGCATTATGCTAATAACATTGACTACTGATAAATAATTGTTATGTTAGGACTGCTGTTTAGAAATCCTAATTTGATTAGGGATTATTTTTGAGTAGCAAATTCTTTTTGGAAAGGTTTTAAGTGAAAAGTAAATATTGTAATATGGGAGAATTTTTAAAGTACTCAAGAATACAAGTTGTTAATATGTTATAGGACTTTAGAAGTATCATTTCCATAAAAGCAATTGTTACTACAAATTGATTTTACAAGTGTAAGATTCCCCTCATCCCCTCTCTCCAAAAAGACAGAATATAGCACAGCATAATAACAGCAAAAAACAAATAAGAGACTAGACAGTATGTTGTTGTCTAAGTTGAATCAACGTATATTCTTTCATAGGTATTAAAAGATCATTAATATTTCCCCAAAACTAGGTCAGACTTTGATTTTTCAGACTTTCTTCTGCAATTAGTCCAAATTAGCATTACTTGACTATATTATGAGTTGTTACTAATAGATTCTGAAAATACTCTGTATGGTTAAGTATTTCCAGATTGAAAAATGTATTTTTTTCAGGAGAAATTTAGCTGACTTCCATTGGACTTATATTAGTATTGAGAAATTTATTCTTATATTTTATGTTTGAATTTGTGTTTATTAGCACTTTATAATTTGAAGATGAGACTGTAAAGGATTTGGAAATAAGACAGTGGATGATTATTTGGGCTGGTTACATCTACCTTGTACATTAGACCTGACTTGGCAAGTTTTCATATTCATTATGTTCATGTTTTAGGCGTCAGTGTGTGGACCAGAACGTTGTCACGACAGTTGGTTTCCTGGCAGTAACTTAGTGTCAAACATGCGACACTTTATAAACTATGTTAGGGTGAGAGTTCCAGAGACTGCTCCGGAAGTGAAGAGAGACTCACTTGCAAGTACCAGCTCTGACAGCTTGAGTTCTTTACAAGTAAGTGTAGAAGAGAGAAAGATAAAAGGAAAGACTCTATGTTATGTTGGGTATATTGTTTAGACCATCCTATGATACTCAAAAGAAAAATGCGGTTGTAGGTAACTTTAAATTGTCTTTTGTTTCCTGTGATATATCTAAGCAACTTTTGCCTCACCCATCTTTTTCCTTTAATCTGCCAGAGTTCACGAAGGCCAAAAGTTCTTCAAAGAGAGGTAGATGTATATAATATTTGCATTAACTAGCAATAAGGCTTTAACTGGAAATCGGAAAAACACTTTGAAGTATTTGTGTGTATATGTGTGTGTTTAATATGGTTAAATTAAAAAGAAAAGTTTACCGTGCGTGTGTTTTTATATAGTGATTTAGGCTTAAAGAAAATTCATATTATTGAAGTTAAAAAAATAATACTTAGTATTTAATAGTGGGTTTTTCTTAGGATTTTGGATGAATTATAAGCAGCACATTTGGGTCTGTTTGCATTTATCATTGTTACTAACATCTTAAAAATGTATGTTTCCTAAATCAAAATAAATTTAATCTTTAATTGCTGGCAGCATGCCCATTTACAGATTTTTTTTTTTGCTTCTATGGCAATTAACTTTGATAAAATAGGCACACACAAATCTTAATATATTGTATATTTGGATTTAACTTGGAAAATCAGCTTTTTCATTGCATGTAGCTTAATTAACTAATTTTTAAAAGGCAGAAATGAAAAATCTTGAAATGACATGCCAAGTAACTAAACTTAAACACCTCTAATCCCTACAATCTATTTTTCTGGGTAAAGAGCACTGCATCAGAAGTTTCTCTTAGTAGAGTCCATTTATAGGAGCTTTCTTTGCCTTTGACAACATGTTTTTGCTGTGAACACCATAAAGAATTTTGACTAAATTGAAATCTTAATAAGAGGCAGCTTTTGCTTCTAATGTTGGTACAGAGTACTTTGAAAAACAGTTTGGATGTTAAAAATAGTGTATACTATAATTTAGCTCATAAAAGCTCAACTGATATTGGAGCATCCTTTGAATGCTTGCTTAAAAAAATTAAATCCATTAAATTGACTCGTATCTTAATTAAAAGATGATTTCTAAGAGCTCTGATGCAGTTTGACTGTGTTAACAGAAAGACTATTTGGAAGATAAATTATTGAAATGTTTTAAAAATCTGTTCAGATAACAAATTATAGTGATATTCAAATATGACAAGATCAGTTTGATTTTTCATCTTTATATTTCCTTTTAGTAACTGTTTGTTAGAAGTAATTTTCAAACTTTGATGTTCTTTAAAAATGAAATTAGCAGTTCAGATTCATTAATTGAAAAAATTTATAATTTACTTAACTAGAAAATGTAGCAGTCTTGTAGAAGTTAGTAAATAGTATTCTTTTTTTTAATAGAGTATAGTTGACACACAGTGTTATATTAGAAGAGTATAAGTATTCTTGATGAATAGTGGGTACAACATCTTTTATTCCTGTAAACTGGTGAGGAATTTGGCGTATGATTCCTCTTTAATATGGCTATAGCTACTACTCAGGTTTTGTCTATTTTTCCTGGTAGATAGGCCTAGGAGGCTGAGAGAGAGGTGTTATTGTGGATAACCACCTTTCTCAGAGTTGTTTCCAGATTGAATGAGACTAAATATATTTAAGAGAGGTGAAGGGACAGACTTACTCAAAGAGCAAATCTATTGAATAAATCCTCAGATTAAACTTCGAACATTGTAGTGCTAATATGTTTTTACACTTAACACTGAATAACTTCTCTTGATTTTTCTTTCTCTTTTTTAATGGTAGAATTCTGGTACAGCTCAAGTTTTCAGCTTAGTAGCAGAGCGTAGAAAGAAGTTTCAAGAGATCATCAATCGCAGTAGCAGTGAAGCAAATCAGGTGGTTCGTCCCAAAACTTCAAGTAAATGGTCTGCTCCTGGTTCAGCTCCACAGTTAACTACAGCCATTTTGGAAATTAAAGAAAGCATATTGTCTTTGTTAATTAAACTTCATCACAAACTCTCAGGGAAACAAAACTCCTACTATCCTCCTTGGCTTGATGACATAGAAATTTTAATCCAACCAGAAATTCCTAAATACAATCATGGAGATGGTATAACTGCAGTAGAAAGAATTTTATTAAAAGCTGCATTGCAAAGCAGAATGAACAAACGCATCATTGAAGAGATATGTAGAAAAGTGACCCCTCCTGTACCACCCAAAAAAATCACTGCAGCAGAGAAGAAAACATTGGACAAAGAGGAAAGGTAATTTTTATTTTTGATGTTTTAAACATACATGGTACAGCTGAAAATTTGATATATCCCCTTTTTTTGGCCATCTGAGGCTAATCACCTGGATGTTTAACAGCTATAATCATAGCTGATTCCTTTGTAAGATAAAGGGAGCCAAACATAGTCAGTGCTTGGGCATGTATCATGCTTGAGTTAGTTGGGGGTGAAAAGACAAGAGTTTATGACCCCAACATTAAATTACTACTCTAAAGTTGTAGGCGGGCCTTTTTAGAAAAATTGCTACTAGCAGGTTATCTAATAATTCTGCTGCTATTTTAAAAAACTATCATCAGTTCAACTTTAAATGAGAATAGAAAGTTAAAAAAATATTCTAAATATTTCTCAGAATAAAAATTTGATTGTTTTGGGTTTTTTGGTCTTTTCCAATCTTTCCAACAAATGATTACTAATTATTAAACAAGTAATGTTTTAAAACATATTTATGGCTCTAGTTTTTGGAACTTCGGGTTGCTTTTAATTTGTTGTTATGTAATGTATTTAAAATTTTTTTTAAATTAAAAAAAAATTTTAAGTGAATTCTACCCCTAATGTGGGGCTCAGACTCATGATCTCGAGATCAAGAGTTGCATGCTCTACTGACCTAGCCAGCCAGATGCCCCTGTTAAATCGTAATATTTGTAAATTAAAAATAAAAATCTTGGGCGCCTGGGTGGCTCAGATGGTTAAGTGTCTGCCTTCGGCTCAGGTCATGATCTCAGGGTCCTGGGATTGAGTCCTGCATTGGGCTCCCTGCTCCTTGGGAGCCTGCTTCTCCCTCTGCCCCCCTCTCTCTCTCTCTTTGTCTCTCATGAATGAATAAATAAAATCTTAAAAAAAAAAAAAAATCTTTCTTGGATAATGTTCCTATTTACCAAGATAGGGGAGGACCAATATAAGAGAGGCTTAGGCTTAGCAGTAAAGTTGATATGCTCAATTTTGTACATGATTGAGTTTAAAGAGGACATCCAAGTGGAGATGTCCAGTCAGATAAAGGGTTTGAGACTTAGGGGAGAATTCTGAGTTAGCTCTTTAGATGTGGGCAGTTAAAGGCTTATATATGGAAAAGTGTGTATAGTAAGAAATGAGAACACTTAATATAGAACTTTTATAGAATAAGGAAAAAACATTAAAGGGAATGACTAAGGTGACTGAAAATGGATGGCTAGAGTGGAAGAGGAGGAACAATGTAGAGAGTGGCGTTCAAGGGGATCGAGAAAGGAAGAAACAGTGAGATTATGCTACAAAAGTTCAGGTAAGATTGGCAGTTCCCTTTGATTCAGTAGTTAGGAGGTCATCCTTTGGTAACTATATCAGGAGCAATTTAAATCACATATATAATTGTACTTCATTTCCGATGTAATTAAATTTGTTACAGATAATTTATATTAAAAGTATATACAAAAGCCTTCAGTATATTAAGAATGTAGGAGAAGGTGCCTGGGTGGCTTAGCTGGTTAAGCGTCTGCCTTCAGCTCAGGTCATGATCCCAGGGTCCTGGGATTGAGCCCTGCATCGGGCTCCCTCCTCCTCGAGGAGTCTGCTTCTTCCTCTCCTTCTGCCCCTCCCTTGCACTCCTGCTCTCTCTCTCTCTCTCTCATTTTCAAATAAATAAATAAGTAAATCTTAGAAAAAAAGAATGTAGGAGAGTTTTACTTCTCACAGTATTTCATAAATAGGGGTTGTTATAAATAACTAACATAATTTATATGACAATTCATTAATTTTGAATCAGTAACTGCCTAAGATTTAATAGATATACTGATAAAATTAGAAGGTTGAAAAATGAGGTAAAATTTTTATTTTTGTTAACCTCTTGGTGTATTTTCTTAGTTACAGAATAATGTCTTTTTTTTTAAAGAAGATAAACTTTCAGTGAATCAGTGTTTATTTTATTTGGTTATTTTGGTTTATTTTATAATTATTACTCATAATAGATGGGATACTGGAGTAGTTGAGATGCTATTTTTACAAAGGCTCTAATGCTGTTGTAATAAATAATACTCTGAAAAAAGGTGTTTTTTTTTTTATTCCTTTTGGGCTTTGTTTCCTTTGAGTGGTGATGATGATGATATTGACAAGGCCCTGAAGCTAATTGTATAGCAGACAGCTAAGGTTTAAGACGAATTTATTTGAATCTCACTATGCTTCTCACATTATCTTTTCTCAATTTATTTTGGATTTTGCATTGAGTTTCATAATAAAGACCAAACAGTTTATAAACACTTAATGGTGATCCATTCCCAACTACCTCACCTATGGACAAACTTAGCATCACTTTCATAAGAGTAACTCATAGAGAACAAAATACAAATAGGAAGGAAACCTTTAGACAGTTATAATAATATGCAACCTCAGTGTCTCCACCTCTGGGATAATAATGGAAAATTCCTGAGTTGTACGGAATCTGCCAGAACTTGTCTTTTCATCTTTATTCACATGTATGCCCAAGTTTAGAAAAGAATTATCTAAATTAATAAAAAATTCACAAGGAAAAGTAATTGACATTCTTTTTCTGCAAATCATGGAAAGCTCTAGTATAGAATTTTTTTCTTTAAACAGGTTAAAACGGCATTCATTTATTTACTCACTGTTTCTGTATGTTGAAGTGTAGGTGTGGTATGACTTGCTTCTCTACTCAGAGTCTCACAAGGCTAAAATCAAGGTGACAGCCATTATTATCTGGAGCTTACAGTCTCCCAGGCTCATGTGGTTGTGGGAGAGTAGACATGCATTTTAATACTAGTGCCAAGCAGTTACATTTGAGGTTTCCTTATGTTTGACATACGGAATTGTTATTTGAAATGTTCTTTTGTGGATATACTCTAAATGTACATGTAAAGATGATTTATAGAGCGGCATAACTGATTGTTTAATTAAAGAAACATAAGAAATTTACAAATTTACAGAGTAGTGATGTAGGAGACCAAACATGTATTCTGTCAATGGTGTTGTTTCTTATAGCATTTTTGGAGGTCCAAAGAATGCTTTGAGCATCTCTAGCACATCTTTGTTTGTTTCCATTTCTTTTATGGTGGCAAGTTTTTGTCCTTTGAGGATGGATTTAATTTTTTTTAATTTAAATTCAATTAGCCAACATATAGTACATCATTAGTTTCAGATGTAGAGGTCAGTAATTCATCAGTTGCATATAACACCCAGTGCTCATCACATCATGTGCCCTCCTTAATGCCCATTACCCAGTTACCCCATTCCTCTGCCCAACTCCCCTCCAGCAATCCTCAGTTTGTTTCCTATAGTTAAGAGTCTCTCATGATCCCTTTCTGATTTTATCCCATTCAATTTTCCCTCCCTTCCCCTATGATCCTCTGCGTGTTTCTTATATTTTACATATGAGTGAAACCGTATGATAATTGTCTTTCTCTGACTTATTTCGCTTAGCATAATATGCTCTAGTTCCATCCATGTTGTTGCAAATGGCAAGATTTCATTCTTTTTGATGACTGAGTAATAGTCCATTGTGTGCGTGCGTGCGTGTGTGTGTGTGTGTGTATCTCTCTCACATCTTCTTTATCCATTCATCTGTCGATGGACTTCTGGGCTCTTTCCATAGTTTGGCTATTGTGGACATTGCTGCTATAAACATTGGGGCACAGGTGCCCCTTCAGATCACTACATTTGTATCTTTGGGTAAATCCCTAGTAGTGCAATTGCTGGGTCGTAGGGTAGCTCTACTTTTAACTTCTTGAGGAACCTCCATACTGTTTTCCAGAGTGGCTGCACCAGCTTGCATTCCCACCAACTGTGTAGGAGGGTTCCCCTTTCTCCTCATCCTCGCCAACATTTGTTGTTTCCTGACTTGTTAATTTTAGCCATTCTGACTGGTGTGAGGTGGTATCTCATTGTGGTTTTGATTTGTATTTCCCTGATGCCAAGTGGATGTGGAGCATTTTTTCATGTGTCTGTTGGCTATTTGTATGTCTTCTTTGGAGAAATGTCTGTTCATGTCTTCTGTCCATTTCTTGACTGGATTGTTTATTTTTTGGGTGTTGAGTTTGTTAAATTCTTTATAGATCTTGGATGAAAGATGGATTTAATTTTTAAAACCTTTCCATTTTGGGGCCGCCTGGGTGGCTCAGTCGGTTAAGCATCTGCCTTCAGCTCAGGTCATGATCCCAGGTCCTGGGATCAAGTCCCACATTGGCTTTCCTGCTCAACGGGGAGCCTGCTTCTCCCTCTTCCTCTGTTTGCCACTCCCCCTGCTTGTTCTTTCTGTCACTGTCAAATAAATAAATAAAATCTTTGAAAAAATTAACTTGTTAAAATAAACCCTTTTTATTTTGAAGAAATCTCAAACTTACATGTTTCAAGGATAGTACAAAGAACTTCCTAGACCATTTCAGAATAAGTTGCTTTACCTTGGAATACTTGAATATGTATTTCCTCGATCACAATACAGCTTTTAAAATAAGGAAATTAACATATTATTTGAGTCTGATAAAATCTTTAGATCCCAAATTTTCACAGTTGTCCCAGTAATGTTTCTTATAACAAAAAAATCCAGTACAGAATCACTCATTGCACTTGGTTGTTGTGTCTCTTTGGTTTCCTTCAACTGGAATTGGTTTCTCCATTTTCTTGACCTTGTCGCTTTTGAAGAACACAGGGCAGTAACACTATAGAATGTCCCTCAAGTTGGGCTTGTCTGTGTGCCATTATGTTTAGATTCAGGTTAGGCATTGTTGGCAGGAATACAAGGAAGTGTTGCTAATTTTCTTTTGATTGCATCCTCATCAGGTGTCACATGATTTTAGTTTGTTTCATTTGGGGATTAATTTTGATCACTTCATTAAGGGGGTGTCTGCCAGACTTCTTCACTGTCAAGTATCCGTTTTTTCCCTTTGTGATTAATATGTAATTTATGGAGAGATACTTTGAGATGCAGCAATATCCTGTTTCTCACCAACTTTCATTTTATTTATTTCTGTCAGCTTGGACTTACGGATTCCTATTTTATGGGTTTTTCTTTTCTTTTTTTTTTTTTTTAAGATTTTATTTATTTGCGAGAGAGAGAATGAGAGACAGAGAGCATGAGAGGGAGGAGGGTCAGAGGGAGAAGCAGACTCCCTGCTGAGCAGGGAGCCTGATGTGGGACTCGATCCTGGGACTCCAGGATCATGACCTGAGCCGAAGGCAGTCGCTTAACCAACTGAGCCACCCAGGTGCCCTATTTTATGGGTTGTTGTTGTTTTTTTTTTTTTAAAGATTTATTTATTCATTTGAGAGAGCGAGAATGAGAGAGAGTACATGAGAGGGGGGAGGGTCAGAGGGAGAAGCAGGCTCCTCGCTGAGCAGGGAGCCCAATGCGGGAGTCGATCCCGGGACTCCAGGATCATGACCTGAGCCGAAGGCAGTTGCTTAACCAACTGAGCCACCCAGGTGCCCTATTTTATGGGTTTTAATCTCATATCCTTTCTATTCATTTTGATGCTCAAATTGTTCTAGATTTGACCTGTGGGACTCCCTTCCAGTTGGTTTCTGTGTTCTTTTGATGTATCCCCATCATTCTTTGAGCATTTTCTTTTTTTTTCTGGGGCAAGAAGATAGCCCAGGTTCATCTTGTATTTGGAATTAGCCATTTCTCCAAGGAGTTCTGGTTATTTTTTATTTAGAAACCACAATTCATGTGCTCATTCTAAGGGATATAACTATTTTCAGTCACTCATAGTGGACAGAACTAGGAAAAGAGTGTGTGTGTGTGTGTGTGTGTGTGTGTGTGTGTGTGTTGGGGAGTTGGAAGGAGCAGGAAGAGAGGTATTAAAAACTGTGAGTTCACCCTGATAATTCCAATTCCAATCCAACATCGGAGGAGTCATTCTTGTTTTCTCTCCTTCCATATTTGTAACTCTGCTCCCACAGTGAGAAACTTGGCAACCATCATCCTCAGAAGATACTACTTTTTAAATCATCACCTCTGTATGTAATCAATTTTTTTTAACCTTTCCCACAAGAATGCTCTCTTGTGATAGGCCATTGGATCATGGCACCTGGTGCTCAGCCACGGTCTCCGCCCACCCCCCCACCCCCCGCCCCAGGCCCTTCAGGAAGGGAAGAGAGGTCAGGAGTAGATTTAATTTTTTTGAAATGGCCATTGTCAGTTGAGAGTTAAGTTTGATGAATGAGGTAAGTGATCAACCTGGATAAAAATACTTTGGCTCAAAAATAAGAGTTGTAGTTATAAATAAGGTCAATTTTCTTAAGTAGATCCTAAATTATACTTAAAGTAAATACTAGAAAAGCAGCGTCAAAAATCTTTTCAACACTATTGGCAAAAATATGTAACTTCTCATGGTAAGGCAGACCACAGTGCTTGACTTTATACCTGTTAATGATTATCTCCACTAATTGGATGGGAACGGATATGTGAATAATCTAAAAATTACTATTAGCATTCTTCTAATCCTATATTCTGTATCCTTGAATCATTTCAGATTAATGAAAGAATCCTTTTAGGTTTCCCATATAAATGACTTCTTGGAATCTCCGTGTAATACTATGCTTTGACTATTATAGTACATCGATATAATAAATAGTCACTAGAAGACTGCTATAATATGCTCTATCCATTATGGTTTTTTAGATTTTTTTTTTTAAAGATTTTATTTATTTATTTGACAGAGAGAGACATAGCGAGAGCAGGAACACAAACAGGGGGAGTGGGAGAGGGAGAAGCAGGCTTCCCGCAGAGCAGGGAGCCCGATGTGGGGCTCGATCCCAGGACCCTGGGATCATGACCTGAGCCGAAGGCAGACGCTTAATGACTGAGCCACCCAGGCACCCCAATTATTTCACATTTTAAAGTAAATTTTGGCTTTTATTTTTACCTATTTAAGCCAGTGATCTTCAAACCATTTTAAAACAGTGGAGGGGCACCTGCATAGTTTAACTGGTTAAGCATCTAACTCTTGATTTCGGCTCATGTTATGATCTCATGGGTCATGGGATCAAGACCCCCATCGGGCTATCTGCTCAGTGGGGAGTCTACTTGAAGATTCTCTCAGGTTGTCCTCAACTGTGTGCCAGGAGCTTTTCATAGTATACACTCATGAAATATAATAAGTCTTAAACACATCTGATACTTACCACTTTATTTCTGTTTAGGCGACAAAAGGCTAGAGAGAGGCAGCAGAAATTGCTTGCAGAGTTTGCTTCACGACAGAAAAGCTTCATGGAAACTGCTATGGATGTTGGTAAGTTAAAATTTATTAGTTTAGAGCTCTTATAATGACATGTATTACTTCAGGGATTATCTAGTTCAATTTTTCACCAGTTTTCAACATTACAGACAGATGATTTCTAGTCTTTATTTAAACAACAGAGTGATGGAGGATCAGACTGTTACAGGCAGTTTATTTTTTTTTAATTTTTAAATTTTTAAAAAGATTTTGTTTATTTATTTGACAGAGACACAGCGAGAGAAGGAACACAAGCGGGGGGGCGGGGGAGGGAGAAGCAGGCTTCCTGCCAAGCAGGGAGCACGATGCGGGGCTCAATCCCAGGACCTTGGGACCATGACCTGAGCCGAAGGCAGACGCTTAATGACTGAGCCACCCAGGCGCCCTGTTATAGGCAGTTTATTCTGTAGTTGCATAGTTGTAATTATTAGAAAGTTCTTTCTGATGGTAGCAATATGATATCCTCTGCTATTTTCCTCTGTTAGATTGTCCTTTAGATTTGTGAGGTTCACCAACATGTATTTACTTATTCTGATTTTTCCTGTGAAATTATCCTAAGATTTTAAAAATAGCTTTCAAATACTTTTAGTGCCTCCTCCTTCTGCTACCCCTGCAGTAGTTCTTAAGATCAGTTGCACTTCTCACTTGTATTAGGATTAGCGTTAGCATTTGTACAGCAAGAGGGGATGCCATTTTCCTGTATGATAGTAGATTGCTATGAGGGATTTTTTTTACAAACCTAGGAAGAATAGATTAAATTTCAGTTAATCTCAGTCTTCAGTTAACCAGGATACTCCCTTTCCTGACTACCTCTTGCATTCCAGTGATTTTTTTTCTTTTTTTTAACTTTTAGACAGAAATGCTGAAAAAAAAGTGCATTTAGTTAAAGTGTATACACATACGTGCATTCAAACATGCATACATTCTTTCACAACTTAATCTCAGAAATGACATAGTATTCTGTACGAAAGTACATTCTCATGCACTTTTGTGCACATAAGCACACATAATCAACATCCAGAAGAGATGTGGGGAGGGGGTTAGTCCAGATATAATATAGTGTTCTTCTGAACCATCAACAGGTAAGTTTATGTTCAGGACGTAACTTTGATGTAAAGAATACTGTTTATCAGATTAATTTGGTATCAGTTGACTTTCTCATATGAAAGATGAGGATTTAGTTCATTGACACTACTTTTCCTTTTTCCATCTCTTCTTTTTCTTCTTTCCAGGAATCCATAATTAATATTTTTTGTTTTTTTTAACATATCAAATATAGTGTATTAATTGTTCTCCTTGTAGCCAGTTCCTTCATACCGCTTCATATAAGTGAATTAATAAGCACCCCTATTTTTCCTTTTATTTTTCCTTTCCTCATCTCTGCGTTTTGCCTTTTTCAGTTATTTACTTTTAAATTGTTAGGGTTGCTAACATTGTCTTTTGTAGTCACAATCAAGTGTTCCATCCAAACGTTGACTTTAAATCTTGAGAAATAATATGACTTAAAAATTTTTTTCTTAAATTTTTATTTCTTTATTTTTTAAAAAATTATTTATTTGAGAGAGAGCGAGAGAGAACATGAGCAGGAGGAGGCGCAGAGGGAGAGAGAGAAGCAGACCCCCTGCTGAGCAGGGAGCCTGACTCGGCCTCCATCCCAGGACCTTGGGATCATGACTTGAGCCGAAGGCAGACGCTTGACTGATTGAGCCACCCGGGCACCCACAGAAATAATATGACTTTTGGAATGTTGTTGAGTAACTAAAAGTAGTGTGCTAGGATTCACTTACTTTTTTTTTTTTTTTGAGTCCAGTGGCCTGACTCCTAGACTACTTTAAGGAGATTGTATATAGAGTATATATAGCCCTATTTCTTACAGTTTCTCAGTTGCTAAAACCATACCACCCTTTATACATTTCTCCTTGGGCCATTACTTTGTTATATTGTCTTTTGTTTTTCCTAAAGTTTCCAACTGTTACTTTTTCTTAACTCATGTTCCCTTGTGCTATCTCTGTTATTCTGCCTACTCAATCATACTGTCCTTTGCATTTAATTCTCATCATCCAGTTGCTCTGGAGGCATGCTATCCAGCCATTACCTTTGGATTTTCCTCTTGTAGAGTTGATCTGGGGTTTCCTGCATCTTATATCATCTCTCTTTTTTTTGGGTCTTGTTTTATTGGCATTCAGCCACAAGCGTATTCCTAATAATGCTTGTGGATGAGGCTCTAGTTTGCTCTCATGCTTGATTTTTCGTTTGGATGAGTGTATAATTCCAGGTTGATACACATTCTTTCTCACAAATGTTAAAGCAATATTCCCTTATCTTTTTTTTTTTTTTAAGATTTTATTTATTTATTTGAGAGAGAGAGAATGAGAGACAGAGAGCATGAGAGGGAGGAGGGTCAGAGGGAGAAGCAGACTCCCCGCCGAGCAGGGAGCCCGATGCGGGACTCGATCCCAGGACTCCAGGATCATGACCTGAGCCGAAGGCAGTCGCTTAACCAACTGAGCCACCCAGGCGCACCAATATTCCCTTATCTTTTACTATTCATTTGATAAGAAGTCTGGTGGTAGTTTGATTCTTCTTCCTTTGTAGGTGAGCTCCCCCTACCCCCCTGCCCCAACACTTTTAGATCCTTAAAGATCTAGAATTTTTTTTAAGATTTTAAAGTATTATTTTATTTTTACTTTATTTTTATTTTATTTTTATTATTTTATTTTATTTTATTTTATTAAGTAGGCTTCACCCTAGTATGTGGTTTGAACTCATAACCCTGAGATCAAGAGTCACATACTCTACCAACTGAGCCAGCCAGGTGCCCCAAGAGATCTGAAATTTGATCATTTCTATCTAGGTGGATCTTTTTTCATTTTCCTTAGTACTTAATAGGACTTTTCAGTCTGAAGATTCATGTCTCTGAAGCTCTGAGAAAAAAATACCCTATGATTTTTTATTGATAACTAGTCATCCTCCAAGATGACCCTCAAATGATCCATGCCTCCTGGTATTTATGTCCTCTGTAGTCTTCTCTTACACTGCACCAGAATTGGTGTGCATGACCACTGGGATATGGCAGAAGTAGTACTATGTCATTTCTAAGATTAGGTTGTGGAAGACATTGTGGCTTCTGTCTTGATTGTTTTTTCTCTCTCTTGGATTACTCATTCTGGAAGAAAGCCAATTGCCATGTTGTGACCAGCCCTGTGGAGAGGCCTATCTGGAGAGAGACTAAGGCCTCTGGCCGACAGTCATGTTAGTGAGCTTGGATGTGAAACTTCCACCTCCAGTTCAGCCTTCAGATGGGTTGTTAGCTTGACAGCAATCTCATAAGAGATCCAGAACCAGAACCATTCAGCTAAGCTGTTACTAGGTTCCTGACCCTCAATAACTGTGTGAGATAACAAATGTTGGTTTAAGCCACTGAATTTTGGGGTAATTTGTTAAATAGCAATAGAGAGCTATTATAATACTTTCCTGCTTATATTTTCTTTATTCTCTTTTTATGAGACTCTTACTAGTTGGATATTGAGACTCCTGGATTGATATTTTAATCTTTTATCTTTTATATATGTTCTTTTTACTTCGCATGCTTAGAGATGTCCTCTCTTCAGTATCTTGTTCTTTCATGGTCTATAGAACTTTTTTCAAATCTTTCTGAATTTGTTAGAGTGCACATGTGTGCTTGCTCTCTCTCAATTATGTTTTATCCTTTTGAATTACTTTTAAAATTTATGTTGGTCTTTCATGTTGCCAGTTTTCCTCATTTGCCTAATGATCCTTGATTGTCCTGGAAAGATGTTCTGGGTAGCTAATTTGTTTTACTCTACTGAGGTATAAATAGGTTTGATCTTAGTAATTGTCTGCAGTCTGCATATAAGTGTGAGGCACATTGACTGTCAGACTTAGATTTCAGTGGGAGGATAGTGGACTGTTCAGTTTGGGCCCCCAAATGTTAACACTCACCTAGAAACCCCACTGCTCTCCAAGCTGTTTGTTCAGTTTCTTTGGGGGATGGTCTTTTGTTTTCCTCCCTGAGGTAAATGCCAACCCACCTGAATGCTCTGTTCACTCAAGGTTGGGGAGGAAATTGGGATGCTGAGTAGTGAAGTTCTGTATATAATTCTTAAATACTTACTCTTTTTTTAAGTCACTCCTATCCTCTACCTCACTGGCTGATTCTGAGCCCAGAGTTGACATTCTAATGGACAGATCATTTCTTCATTTTCTGTAACTTTCTCATAATACATAAGTGGTTGTAGTTTTAATGGCTTTCATTCATCTGTTTGCATGTCTCCATCTCCTCTAATTTTTCAGAAATTTAATTGACATCTCTTACTTGTCGGTTGGTTAAATTGCCTTCTACAACTCCATCACTTTTATATTCTTTTTTTTTTAAGGATTTTATTTATTTACTTTAGAGAGAGAGAGTGAGAGTGTGACAAGTGAGGGGAGGGGCAGAGGGAGCGGGAGACAGAATCTCAAGCAGACTCCCTGCTGAGTACGGAGGCCGACAAGGAGCTCGATTTCACCACCCTGAGATGATGACCTGAGCTGAAATCAAGAGTGGGTCGCTTAACCGACTGTGCCACCTAGGCGTCCCCCTTTTTGTGTATCCTTGTGGTAATATTTCTTGATGTGTTTCTCTGCTTTTATTTCAGTGGTTTTTTTTAGAAAGAATGAGAGACAAGTGTTCAGTCTGCAATCTTGAATTAGATAGTTACTAATATTTATTATTTTAATGTATAAAGTTAAAATTTCTGTTATTATAAAAGCATTAAATTTTTATTATAGGGACTTAGAAAATACATATAATCAAAAATAAGAAAATAATACTGTATTTTTACAACCAGATATCCTAATCTGGGCTTTATCCTTATTAAAAAGGATGATCTTTACATTTGTAATGGATTCTTATTCCCTGACATATCATTTTCCTGCTTTGGGTATGATTTTATCATAAATTAGACTCTTTTTTAATACTCTTCCATTTCCTTGGAATCAGGCACAGCTGTGAA